TGCTCCCAGCAGCAGATAAGCCTGGATTTCAATGAGTCGTGTCCCAACTCCGGTGTGAACGATTTCCTGACGTCAAGACGAAGTGGGGTCAAGTCATGGGTGTTGCAAAGGAAGCTGTCACAAGATGAATTGATCCAGTATTGAACGGTAGGTTTTGTAAAGCTGCTCTAGCATTTGGATACTATAAATTATAACATTAAATTATTACTTGTATTCACGAAGCCATGCCCTAGACGTGCGACATAGCGTGCGTCCATGTGTATATGTGTGCGTGCGTGTGTATATTGTGTGCGCGCTTGTGCATGTCGTAAAATCCCGCCAGAGCACCCCTACCTCCGCAACCATTCGAGTAGATCCATTTGGGGAGGGGCGGATGGGCGAGTCCTGCTTGCCGCATTCAGTACTACATGAAAAAGTACTCACCCTACGAAAACTGGGCGTGCGTCTCGTACACCCAACAAAAGTCAAGAGCTGGGAGTCGTACAAACCCATCAAAACCCTAGGGTGTGTGCGCTCTCTGGTCAAGAGGGTGGGAACTGTTGCGTACATTTCCAACCAGGTCGAGGACGCGTCTACAGTACAGTACGACCTCACACTTCACATAGGCATACGAGGATACAACTCTATTGATAGATAAGATAATGTGCTAGTAGATCTCTGCCATGCCAAAGTTGCATTCAGTAGAGGTAGTAGGCGTGTTTGCCATTGGCTCACGGCACTTGTAGCAGCTGATCGGACGATGCAAATGGACTCCCAGTCCACATTAGCTGGTTCTTGAGATGCTTCCGAAAATATACCATGGCACGCACTTTCCACTGTTTTTACATAGGGCCGGAAGTGTGTTGTCCTGAGCTTGCCACGATACTTTCCGATCTGTCCATCTTCTCTCTTTGTTAAGTTGGAATTATTTGAAGAGCTGATGGCTGGTAACTTGCTGGTCAGCTGGTAGGAATACGTTTGCAAGTGTTGCTGCTGATTTGTACATTGAATTGCCGGAGTGACGTGGCCTTGAGTAGTCTTCCCCAGCAATGAACTGAAGAGTAGCATGCGTATTGAATTCTCTTGTTGCCGGTTCATCGGTCCCTCTCCATGACACCAGACTAGACTGAATTACTGGCATCCCTTCATCGGCCTGCTTTTCGCCTCGAACTTCACGAGTCTTGAAATCTGGACCCAAAATAATAAAAGTGGGACTCAATTGCGCAGTTCAGACGATAAATTGATGCAATAAGGGGTCATCGCAAAAGTGTTTAGTCATCCCTGAAAAAAACATCATTCATTTCGTACTCGGACCCCCTCTCCACCCTCCGAAATGAATGGATGACGAAAATCGCATGCATATACATGTGTATGCATAGCGTCAGTCAACAGAAATCTTAGCTCCCCCCCCCCCCCCCCCCCCTGGAACGATCTTCGTTTCAGGGACGACCAAAAACTTGTGTGACCACTGACTTTCTTTCTCTGCTATCAAGCAGTATGCAGTATTTGTAACAGTAATTACTTGTCTGTGTCATGTGCATGCATTGTCTTATTTCCTTTTGAAGGCTACAGCACAACCGAGAGAACGAAATGTACGTCGCAATCAAGCTATGTCATTGCCATCTTCTATGTGCCATGCGTTACCTGATGTGCCAGCCTTCTATGTCGGATACCGCTAACCATGCATCGACTAGGCGCCAGGCGCGAACTGATGGTGGTGGTAGTGGTGGTGATGAGAAGGAGAGCTCTGTGCAAGAATAACTTTGCAGTTTAGAGAGCGTGTCTGGGCAGGCGTGTATTTACCGCCATATTGCCAGGTGTGTATTTACCACCGTATTAATCAACCATGCGCTACCTGATGTACCAGCATGCTATATCGGACACCACTCACCCTGCATTGACTAGGCGCCAGATGCGAACTGATGATGGTGGTGGTGGGAAGGAGAGCTCTGTGCCAGAGTAACTTTTTCAGTTTAGAGAGCGTGTGTGGACAGGTGTGTATTTACCGCCGTATGAATCCACCACAGTACGATCAGCTGACGTTATAACTTATAAGGATGATCTCGTGCAGCGATATGATGATATTTTTTCAGTCTTTTCTAAGGACTCTCCACTGCGTTTTCGTTCCACTCGAATATGGAAAACGCGGAAGGTTGTTAGCACTGTGTTGAGGCAGCTATTGTTGACTTTATTCGGAATTAATTCTGTTGTATTTGCACACATTCCTGGGTGCATTGTATTAGCATCCAATGTGTGTTATCTGTGCGAGCTTCTAACCTTGTGAACATTCACCGAAGGTTTGGTTGGTGGCGCACAAGATCTTACGGGATGGCTCTTGCGGGCTCTCAGCCCTGCGTTTACTGCATAAAACATGGCAGAACAGTTCAAGCTTCAATTTAGGCCATTTCCTCACTCTGACTCCCAATATTTCACATGTGTAATAATTATAAGTATTGTGGATCCCTGGGACAGCGCCATTTTGTTAGCCAATGTTAGTCCTGAAGAAAAATTGACTTCATTGTCCTAAAGGTGAGAACAAATTGGGACTATTTGTGAAGGAAAACTTTGGAAAATGCAATTTCGAATGTAAGTCATTTCGTTTATCTGGATTCGTCCAATATTTCACAAATGTGCAATATGAGTATTGTAGATCACTGGGACAGGGCCACTTAGTCTGTCAAAGTTCGTCATGAGGAAAAAAATTATTTCATTGCCCTAAAGGTGAGAACAAATTGGGACTATTTGTGAAGGAAAACTTTGGAAATATAATTTCGAATGTAAGTCATTTCGTTTATCTGGATTCGTCCAATATTTCACAAATGTGCAATATAAGTATTGTAGATCACTGGGACAGGGCAACTTAGTCTGTCAAGGTTAGTCATGAGGAAAGAATTTACTTCATTGCCCTAAAGGTGAGAAAATATTGAGGCAATTTGTAAAGAAAGGATTACCTCATCTTAGGTGGTCAAAGTGCCTCAGAGTTCGAGTGGCAGTGCAAAGCCAGTGAGTAAGCCAGTACAGTGAACAAGTGAACTCCTCAGCGATGGCCACAGATGGCTGTATTTCGGCAATGGAGATCGAAAGTCTGACCTGTGACAATTGTTCTCGAAAGGACGAAGACGACGATTTCTCGCTATGTACGGATTTCCCGCGCGCTATGACCTATGTACGGACTTGTCCCACACCGAGCAGGTCGTAATATTTTGAATCGTTGAGTCGATCATGGTTGTGCACAAGTGATGCGCGTGTCGCCTCCCGGGTCTATACGACTCCCTGTTCAGCACGCACGTGCACGTGGTCCGTGTCCTGAATCTCATGAGACATGATCCTGTCGATCATATCATGCAAACTCGATATTTTGCTCGATTTTCGGGAACTGAACCGGGCATTTTACCCACTTCCCGTACGTTTAAAAAAACACAGTCGGTTTCTCAACACGGGTTTTCACACACATGTCCCCGGCCCCGGGTTCCACAGGTGCGTAGCACCGCCGTTGGAGGGCGGAGGTGGTCCGGCCGGAGGGGCGTCGGGGTGCACCGGTGGGGGTCCGAGTCCCCGGGAACATTTTGAAATTAGGGTGCAAACTCCTGCATTCTGGACACTTTTTTCGTGGTCGGGCGAAGTGGCCCGGCCATGGACCGGCTGCTACACCCCTGTTCCAGTTCCAGTTATACTTTCGGTGAAATGATCTTGGCGGTTCACCCAGTCTGAATCCATACTTTCAGTGAAATGATGATCTTGTTCTGTGCAGTGTATCAAGCCGGAACGAGTAAGTCCTTAATTAAGAAAACAAGGAAATCACTGTATCAGGCATCGATTTTACCCAAAATCGCGATTTTGCCCAAAATCGCGATTTTGCCCAAAATCGCGATTTTGCTCCAATGTTGCCGGCAATCAGTTCCGCTTTTTCAATTCAAGGCTTCCTTACTTTTTGCCGAAAAAAAATTGCCGGCAGAATCTGTCTGGGCCTAGCATGTGCACGGTGCAGTGCAGTCACGTTGAGGTAGCTTAGACCATGCATGGTAGACCCAGATCCAGACCATGTGATCGGTACACCATGGTACACGGTGTGAGGGCAGGATTATTTCCCGGACACACCAGTTTTCCACGGGTAGCACGGGTACCCTCTCGGGTAATGTTTCCATGGTAACACCACAATGCACCCCTTCCCTTACACACTGGGTAGACATGCGGAGTATGACATGAATTTGTACACGTGCACTGTACATGATGTCATCTGCGACTTCGGGTTTTCGGGTACTATTCTGTACCCGTCTACCCGAGGTCCTCACGGTTAGTACGGGTACCAGACTACCCGTCCGTGCACACCACTAATTAATTATCATCATCATGCACAATGTGTGAATGGCTGGACCAACCCCAAACTGCGTCCGCCGGTACTGGTAACCAGTATGCAATGACCTCTCTTTAGTGGAACATCTCTGTAGACTGCAGTGCATGCAGCACACTAAGAATGATGTACAGTAGATAGTAGACCTACGTACATGTACATTGTAGATCTACACAATTCTACACGGTTGTCTTGACACGATCACTTCAGTAAACTCTACAATCAAGTACTGTACAATGTGGTCATGTAGTGCTACAAAAAAAAGTAGTTAGTAGATCTACCCGTGACAATCTCTGGTATAATGCAGTGCATGCATGCAGTGGAGCTCACCTTCAACCAAACTCCAACTGAGCAGGTCAGGGTATCAGCCCGGTGCATGCAACTGAGCTCGGCTGATTGCTTGGCGACCAGGCACGGATAACGTCCACCTCTGACCTTCCGGATCGAACCAATGAAACAAAATATTAAATCTACAGAAGCTCATGCCATGGACTCACTATCTATCCGCACTTCACAAGCACACTACTCCGGAAACCAGCGTTGTTCAGTCTTGCCGCTTCCTAATGAGTCCTGTTTTGTTAGCAGACATGTATTGGCGCTAGCTAGTGCATTTCTCATAATAATAATCCACATTCTATTTGTGCTGTCACGCTGGCCTACAATGTAGCTGCAAGAAACCTGGCCAAAGAAATTGCTGGACGCTGTCATTATGATCATGTGATGGGTGACATGACTCCACACCGCTAGGGAAGTCCAGCATTCTACTTTCTACTGAGAAGTAGTACTACTGCCAGTACTGGTAGATCTACAGAGTAGAGGAGACGGCTCGATACTGGGACGCTTTGACAGCCAAATTTGTATAGACCCAAACCGATCACCAGCGTTGATTTTTCACTCGAAATATGTTTGTGGAAGGAAACTGGCATGTTGAAGTTTGCTCTGGGGCCAGAGTCAATCGAACTGAGCCACTCCTTTGTGTTGACCCATTGCCTCCAATTAGTTGCCCAATTTTTCGCTTCAAAAAAGTTCAAATCAGAGGTGGCTCCAAACCGGACACGTTTTAGAGTGCACGTCAAATTCACTCTGGGTCTGAAATTAGGTAATTGCTATCGCTCCACGACGGCCAGTACAGAGTAACAATAAGCCTTGTGTGTGCTTCCATTAGTTTTGATTGGTATGCGGTGCTTTATCGGCGAGAGGCGAGCCGCTGTTTACCTGCGACAAGAAGTTGATTTTTCGAAAGTCGTAAAACTCAAGTCGCAGTGCGAAGCAACACGTCAAAAACTCACCTGCTTGATATGGCGCTTCTGGTCATCGCAGAGCCATGAAATTTTGGCTCGGAGTATAACACATCGTAGTCTCACTGTGACATTATGTCTTCTAATCAAAATACCAAGAGAGAAAGTGAATATTGAGTCCGTTCCGGTTTGCAACCTATGTCCTATTTGAAACCGTCCCCTCTACAGTGAGAGGCTGAGAGCGGGAGTCTGATCTGAAGAAGTGCTCAATATCCCTATGCTTATACATCATGGCTTTGTGATGTTCCAACATTCCCTGGCCTTTAATATTCGCGGGATTCTAGCTACGGTAGTAATAATCCCGCCAAGGCCTAGTCCGGCGACGAACGCGACGAGTACCGGTCGTAGACATGGCGAAGTCATCAGGACTAAGACTAAAGTAAGAGTAAGACTAAGAGACAAAGGAGTCGTGTTACTCGTGTAGCTAGATGATAGATCTACCATGATTCATGAAGCCAGGCATGGATGATGAACATCCACGGCCACTGCCGTTTCGCTATGGTGATTCGTCATGGCGACTGTTGTCCTGTTGATCTAGCTAGCTGCGAGCATGACCATGCATGATGACAGAATGCAGATTTTTATAATGGAATTAGTATTTTGACGCCTGGGAGGCGCGTCCACCATGCCCATGGCATGGTCCGGTCCATCTCATGCTCCTATCCTACTGACACCAGGACACCATGGCATGGACACTGTACTGATGTGTTTGGCTAGACCTCGACGTGTTCCTCTCGACCTCCCAGAACCTTATCAGCTGATTTCGTCGCATCGCTCCTGTCATCCAAACTTTCTGCGCTTTTCGCGAGTTGTTTGTTGGCGCCCCTGGCATGGCCTGCAGTATCGGCCTTGGAAGCTGAGCGCTCGCGCTCGCCTGTTTGTAGCGACGCAATCGGTGAAGAAAGCAACAAAAACATTCTTGGAGAAAATAATTCCTGTTTTCGCATAGTCCTTTACCAGACGAGAAGCGAAGCGTCTGCAGACGATCGCCCAATTATAATGCTCGATAATAATTCACCCACTACTGGCACTAGAACCGACACCAGCGACTTACCTCAATAGCCGTGTTCCTCGATGCCATCCGTCTTTCTTTCATTGCGGAAACTTACTGCGCATACGCAGGCGGTGGAGAGCCATTGATATTCATCGGTAGCAAACGTGCCAAGAATACCAGCCGATGAACGATGGCCGCCGCAGAGGTAAGGTAGTTCGCTGGCTGTAAGCCTGTAGCTATACCTAATACTACTACTAACGTCGTAACGATAACAGCACCCAGTGTTCGATGCCCGATGTCCACAGGTAAAACTTGCAGATACTCTGCGGCAAGAAGCAGAGGTCTGAGCACGTGCATGTAACAGGTAGCCTATTGCCCTTACCTAGCATAGCCACATAGGGGTATTGACTGTTTCACGCTTTTCCCCATGGTCGATTACTATTGTTATTCTCCGTGTGGGAGTGCAGTAGCGTCCAACGATGCTTGTAGTAGTGGTGGATGTTTTTTGACGGACCTACTGAAGATGGCATCACAAAATGATGGTGTTAGTAATAGTGTGATATTCGGAGTTTCAGCAGGCGCATCCCGGATCCCCGTATGGGTTCCTGGGTGCCCGGAACCCCCCCCCCCCTTTTCGCTCAAAATGCAGGGTTTTGCTTCATTTTTTGAAAATTTTCCCGGGGGGGGGAGGGGAGGAGGAGGCCCCCCGGAACCCCCCTTCAAGGGCACCGGAGCACGCGCCTGTTCAGCGACCCTTTCTCATCTCTTTGCCGTGTGATATGTAGCATGGCACAGAGTCCTGGTAGCATGGCACAGAGTCCCGCATGATAGAGTTTAGAAGCTAGCCCAGTGTAGAGCCTACCATGCTGGGCAGGTGCATGCAGCATGGTGATAGACCCACTCAGTACTGCTCAATGAAATCGCAGTCGCGTCACTCAAGCATGCGCCGGGCGTTGCGCAGCCCTAGACCTGCGAACACTGGGCTGAGAAATGGTGCAAGGCGCAAACGTACTTGACTCGCGCCGCCCCGGATTTCATTGAGCAGGATCATACTAGTACTAGCTCATTGCATCACCATGATGGTCACTGATAACGTTAACGCTGGGTGGTACGTGCTGTTTCAGATATGAATAAGCTTACTGAGCAGCAGTTCAAGTCACGGCACATGATAGGCATAGCTAATGTAAGGACTGGAGTGAGGATGTGAGTGGGCATGTTACGCTTACAAGTACACTCATACCTCGTTTATCCGGGCAGTCCGGGACCGGGAACTGCCCGTGACTTTGAAATGCACGAAACTCCGAATCACATACATGTTGATGGTGAAAGGCCATAGATATGGCATTTGACTATCACATACATGTTGATGGTGAAAGGCCATAGATATGGCATTTGACGTCACTATTTCCACAAAACTAGTAGCAATATTTCCACTGAAACTCGCCCAAAGGGTGCCCGGTAGACCGAAGTGCCCGTAACTTCGGGGTCCGGATAACCGAGGTGTAGGCATTGGCGGATAATGCTCGAAAAGCAGTGAAATTGGCAGAACCATACAAACCGTATGGCGGGCAATTCTCCGAATTCTGCTCCATTTCTTTAACCACATACCAAACATGCATGAAACTTACCAGAAAAAGTACCGAATTCTGCCATTTTTTCTGCCGGCATTATCCGCAAAGGCCTACCGAGGTATGAGTATACAAGTACTTATTAGATGTAGCGTACAGTGAGTGTAACAGCAACGAGTGTATCTGTATGTTACTTCAGTTCTTAGGGCGCCTAGCCGCAAAGCCATGAAGTATCACCACAGAACTTCCGCCCATCAGAAAAGTCCAGTCCACTTTCTCCTGGAAAATATGGAACGGAACGTATGCTCTTTTTGTGGAAAGGACGAAAATTGTACCACACATTTTGACGTTGACAACCCACTGTGCGTACATGTACATGTATGTGTGTGTATGTGTATGTGTGTACTCAGCTGGAAGCCAAACTAAGCCACACGGAGCAGCAGTTGCACTTCACCAAACAGCACCATTCCATCATTGTGAGCAGCCTGCATCAAGAGATCAAGGAGCTGCGTAAGAAGAACGCGGGTAAGCACTACACTCTCTACAGGCCGCTGTCACCATCGGATGTACAGTTGCGCTCGGTGAAATCTGATCTAAAGTGCAATGCTGGCACCCTGGCCTAGACTGGTTCTGACTGCTACTTGTACTACATCATTGTATTAGTACATGTGGGGGGGGGGGGGGGCAGGGGGTGCAGGGGTACATCATTGTATTAGTACATGTGGGGGGGGGCAGGGGGTGCAGGGGTACATCATTGTATTAGTACATGTGGGGGGGGGCAGGGGGCAGGGGTACATCATTGTATTAGTACATGTGGGGGGGGGGGGGCAGAGGGCAGGGGTACATCATTGTATTAGTACATGTGGGGGGGGCAGGGGCAGGGGTACATCATTGTATTAGTACATGTGGGGGGGGGCAGGGGGCAGGGCAGGGGGTGCTATCAATTGTAGACCCTCTATTAAAGCCAGGGAATTGTTCATTTCCCTGCAGTTTCCGGTGACCTCTGTTACTGGCATGAGAATAGGTTTTTACTTTACACATGAAAGTGAAGGCATCGTGCAAGCCACACGAAGGCATGTGCCCTCTGATATTCCACATTGTGCTCAAGAAACATTGCCTTGATGAATGATCATCTCCGAAAGGCCATGGGGATGCCTGATTGTACTGACAATTCCCATCAGTCCTATGAAAATCCGTATGTCGTACGCGCCGGTGAGCGAGGGCAACTTTCATACGTAAATCTCTCTACGGATTTCCGTAGGAAAGCTCTTTCCTACGTTGGGTCCTCCATAGGACTTTTTGAAATATTTTTTCGCATTTGTCCATGGCAACATTCAAGCCGCGCGAAACACAAGGTACACACACCGTACACCACGTACAAAATATAATGGAAAACGCGGTTTCGGTTCATGGTGCATGCGGTGGGCACATGCAGCCAACGCGTCTCCAAAGCAACAACGCATGTTTAGCAGTCGTGGAGAAATCACGTAGAGCGAAACCCAACAGCTCTGATTTTTACGTATGAAAATTCCGTGCAGTTCATACGTTATTTTCACACGTAATTCCGTAGAGCGAAACCTCCCTAATGTCACAGGCATGTACATCTAGCTCGGGGCATCTGCAAATTGCTACCATGCACCGTTTTGTCTCTCACTCTCTTCCTCCTCCCTCCCTCCCTCTCTCTCTCTCTCTCTCTCTCTCTCCTCCTCCTCCTCCTACTCCTCCCTCCCTCCCCGCTCTATCTATCTATTTCTCTCTCTCTCTCTCTTTCTCTCTCTTTCTCTGTCCTCAGACCTCAACTTTAGGTTATGTACCGAAGGAGAGAGCTCGGCCAGTGGAGGACAAGGTGGGTATCTGTCTGTATGATGCATGAGCTGCACATGGGCATGGGAATCATGCTCTACTGGACTTTGTAACTTACGTGATCGGAGTTATTATAAAATAATGATTATTATGTAGTTGTTTGGCCGATGGCTGATTGAGGCAAGTCATTCAGCTGATGTATTTCGAGAGAGAGAGAATGGGAGAGAAAGAGAGAGAGAGAGAGAGAGAGAGAGAGAGAGAGAGAATGGGAGGGAGAGATATATGTTTTAACCCTATGGAATTGGACTGGTGACCTTCAGAACCGGTCTATTAGTTTTTAGAAGAATATTGACGTAAAGGTGTACACTTTTCAGTCAGCAATAACACAACAGAGTCCTTCTTTGCCGTTACTCAGAGTTTTGTGTACAACACTCATTAGACAGCAGGGGTGTCGGACAAGGTACGGTCACTACAGTATTGACCGTACCACTTTTTGCCCCAGATACCCCGTCCGTGCATCTACCCAAGAACGAACTTCCTCGCTATGGAGTGGTGTTGTGAATGTGGGCCAAGAGCGCAGTTTGGAGAGGTGGACAGTTAAGGTACCCCGTGGACCAATAAAATACACTGAGCTGGACTCTAAGTTTCCAAAATGTTCAGCTCAGCCACCCCTCCCCCACGAGTAAATTGTACTTCAGATGGCTGACCGTACCACACTAAAATACCTGCCGACACCCATGGGTAGCATAGTAAAGATTACAATTCACTAGGCAGATACCTGAGGGATGTCAGAAAGCGGGATGAAGTGATGAAGGCACGACATGTAAGTGGTGCGAGGAAAGGGAGGTGGCAAAAAGTCACCGAGCTCAATTGGGGGAAAAGATCAGCTTCAGAAAGAAGAAGGCTTTCGATCTCATCCTCTTATTCACGAACCGGGCTCAGATATACGGTCCACAATTTGTATGCCGCTGCATGGCGAGCACCTATTATTGTTCTTTCCTTTTTGTCTCCTGCTTGCTACCGCAGATGGACGGCTCGACGAGGTTTCCCATCTGCAAGATGAAATTGACGGGCTCAGGCGGAGCAACGCCGAACTGGAGGCATCTCAGGGTCTGCTGAAGCTCCAGCTGCAGACCAAGGAGTGTTCACGCTGTGCCAGAAGAAAAAGGATGACAGCGGCTATAGCAGCGGAATGTGAGACGTCTGACAACAAGCCTGCCGAGCAGTTGACCATGACATCATCAGCAGAACATCCAGTGGCTATGACGTCATCAGCACAGCATCCAGCAGCCACGCACGCCGACCGCCAACAGAGAAAGCCCGTATCGTCCAAGGCACCGTCACTCTCGCTGCATCAGAAATCTCGCTCCGTGCCGGCTGGTGTGGTGGCACGGGTACGACGTCAGCTTCCTGCTGCACCGTCTGGATCACTGGAACAAGCCGCAGCCGTGTACAGCTCACGATACCCCGGTTCGGTGACATCATACCCCGGTTCGGTGACATCATCCTCAGATCGGGTAACCACCAGTGCCACAACACCATCGGAACAAACCCCAACTGATGATGCTACCTCATCTGGTCGGCGGGCACACATCAATCGTATGACATCATCGGAGGAGACAATTGCAGTGATTGCATCATCAATGACATCATTAACAACCCCATCCAACGCATCTGAATTTCCCCAGCCACCTCCACCGAGCACACCGCCACCGAGAAACGGGCGGAGATCGTCGGCCCGGTTATTGAAGTCACGCTCAGAGACGGCCATCAATGCCAGACTTCAGCACCTGCAGCTGGAGCATGATGAGATCTTCGGCCGGCCGCCGTGTGAGCTGTGGGAATTGCCGCGAGATCTGCAACTGAGAGCAGGAGAAGTAAAGGTAAGAAGAAGATAATCATAAGAAAGCTGTTCGCGGCTAGAGACGGGGTTCGGTTTATTCTATGATCGATTACATGGAGACTAGAAGAAGACCCACTACAATTGCAAGTAAATTATGTCAACGTAACAAGAACAAGGAGACACGTGTGTCAATACAAAAAGGCAGACATACTAAATGCTCTGCGCATGGTGTGACGTCAATACGATAATGATGGCGTAAGAAATGTCCATGAGTGTATCATCAGCACATACACTACAATAAGAAAGGTGTTCGCTCCCCACACCGGGAGCTTGCGCTTTTCTGCCGACTTGACTTGACACTTGGCTACCTCGTGACTACCTCTATCTATCATTATCTCGAACTAGATAATCATAATGTTGATGATGACGAAATTGCTGTCATTGTTCCCTATGGCATCCCTACCAATGCGCCTCCTATAGTGGATCATGCAGTCTGTCAAGCCAGCCTTTAGAACACAGTGAAACCGGTTTGAGAAACGTGGACGCCCAAGGAACTGTCCCTATATCAAACCTATCCTCATTTTGGAGGTTTAAATATGCATGTTTGTATCTCCAGGGTCTGCTGCAAGGTGTCCATGATTTGACACGCTATCTTGCTGCAGGCGGAAGAGTACTTATCTATTCTTGCAACTCATGTGCTGACCAGACAGTTGATAGGAGGACAGTATGAGAACCATCAGTTCACACAATCACAACTGCTTTCCGTCTTAGTGTTCATCTGCATGTTGTCCTTGTGTGAATATACATGCACATTTGTATGTGTGTGGACACGTGCGTGTGTATATATTTCTGTCTGTCTTTCTGTAAACATATGTGTGTATATTTCTGTCTGTCTGTCTGTACGCGCGCGTGTGTGTGTGTGTGTGTGTGTGTGTGTGTGTACCTGTGTATATTTTCTGCTGGGCAGTATGAACGTCTGCTGGAGCTGCACCGGCTTTACCCTAACAATCCCAACTTGCCGGCTAAGCCACGGGAGCGGAGCAAACTAGAATACCTGATCAGTGCCGGCCTACTCAGCAAGGACGGCAAGCGGCAGTTGTACTTGCTGCCACCACGACGTGACAGCCTGCCGCCGATTCCAGCCGACCAGGGCGTAATGGAGAGAACACCGACCAGTCGTAAGCACTCCACTGGCATCGACGGGGGTGACGGTGGCAGCAGTCAACATGCACTGCAAGATCGTAACGCCTACGCCGGCCCACGGCTTGCCACCGATCCGCGCATACAGAAGACCAGTCGTCGTCGTGCTGCCGCGGGGCGCAACACAAACCAAGCACCGTCGGGATCACGCAGTGCCATAGATCTTACCGCCCTGGACTTTGGTGCTATGGAGGAGAGTGGTGCTGATGCCATTGTTCCATCGCCCACGGGAGAGAGCAAGAGAAGATCGCTTCCCACTGACTTTGCTGCGTCGGGCAGAACAGGCAAGCAAACTGACCAGCACAGGCAGCACCAGTCGCGCGCCGCGGCGAAAGCTCAGCACCGGCACCTTACCGAGTCGTCTACCGAAATCGATGTGCACGACACTGCCCTTGTATCGCAGCAGCAGCACGACACCGGAGAACCGGTGAATGCTGCCAATCACTCCTCAACAACCGTCACCACCACCGCCGCAGCAGCAGTCGCAGGGTCAGGTAAAGTAGTGGCCATGCCCGAAGGCATTGCCAAGGTGCTGGCATCGCCCTACCTGGCGCACCACTCCAGCAAGCTAGCCGCTCGCACGACCGTGCGCGAACGGCAGCTGCCCGAGCATCGCGCCACCGCTCGCAGCAAGGACATGGAACAGGCACCGCACGAGTCCAGCGAGGCCACTGTCAAGAAGCAGTAGACACGGCGGTTGATCTACTCGGACACAACGCGTAGTCATGAATGTGGGATTAGCACAAGACGTTTGAAGGGATTCTCGTCTTCTCGAGACGCAATGTACCGTACAAACTGCACATGTATGCACACTGAAATCTCAAATCTCTCATACCTACCTCGACGTCTACGCGTTGCACTAGCAGAAGTGCCGGCAACACCGCCGGTGAGAAAGATACGCGGCGTGGCCTTACATTCCGCTCTGCTAGGCTGAGTGAGATTCTGCATTGTCCACACTCCAGACTGTGCAGCTGTGTTTTAGTGACGTCACCACTGCCTATTCTATACACTATGTAGCATACACTATGTAGTGTACACTGCACATTACAGTGCTGGCAACTGAAATCCGATCCCCCCCCCCCCCCCCTGAGCGGTGAGTGATATCGACTCAGAACACGGGATTGTAAAACTATGAAATAGAGACCGCTAGAATGTGAACGGGGGGGATTCAGTTGCCACCGGTGTATGTAGTATGCTCTATGCAGTAAACACTATGCTGTATACACTATGTGGTATGCAATATGCTGCCTGAATATTTTATGTGGTATATACTATTTCCTCAAAGCTGTTCGTCACGGTGTGTGCCTAGAATTGCCGAATGACTGTGTGATGCTGTCGTGCTCCAGTCGAGTGCTGCAGGCCAAGCTGTACATAACCGCACAGTAACTGCTTGTCTGGATCTGCACAGCCTGCTGCTACAGTATTCCACTCTGAGTATCATAATGTGCATAGTGCTGCTACATTCCTATTGGCTGACTCGAAAATAAATTCAAAGTAATTATCACTATTCTAGTGGGAGCTTCCTATATTGCCTCTCCGTATACTTCAAAATACAATGCTTCTATGAAAAAGAAAATCCATCATGCTGAAATCCATCATGCCAGGCAGGAGAGCGGATTGTGCTTCTGCTTGTATGCATTGGTGCCTAGCTGTAATGAAACACTGACATTTCCAATGGCACGTCACACGTGTAAAACAGAGGAAAACACAATGTAAAACACAATGGAATGTTCGTCTATTTTGCATTAAATTAAATTTTATTGCTGGCTCAGTATCCGAGTTAAGATCACAATATTTATGCGCTCAATTTGTGCTAGCATGTTCAAGAAAGTCGGATGTGAAATCATGAGTGACCGCCACTGGGCGTACGGCAGTTGAGTCCAGTCCAACAGCCAGCTGTGTGTGCACGTGAGTACTGAGCAGTTGAACGTCGCCGCTGAATGAGGTGGATGTGCTTTGCTTTAAATTGTGCTGTGTGTGTTGGGGGGGGGGGGGGGATGGATGCAAGCGCCCGTTTGCATTGGTTGATCTTGGTTGCTTTTATGTGACGTAAACAAATGGAGTCAGTGCGTATCCCAGCTAGTAACCTATACAATCATGTGCAAAGGGAACAATACAAGTGTTGCAAAAGAAGGATCCACGAGCGGGATTCGAACCCAGCACCCCTGTCTTTCCGGAACAGTGCCCTACTGACTGCAGGCTACCGGGGATCACACACACGCACGCACGCACGCACGCACGCACACACACACACACCTGTGGGTCCTTCTCGCTACAGTAGTGGTTGTGCAGTGGCTGTGGATGGTACCATGGATATACTTGTAACACAGTCATACTGCTCATTTCGCATCAGATAATAATGAAGTACAATTAACTCAACCTATAACGAACTCACATTATAGGGAATTTCGTGATACATGTATAGTGAACTGTTGACCATGTCCCAGTTTGAACCCGCAACGTAAGTTTATATCTGTTATAAACTTATAATCGCACTTCGGCTATAAAGAACTAATTCTCCTCCACCGGCAATGGTGTCTGTTATATCACTATTATCAGGAGTCGACTGCATATACCGTAATTATTATTGTTGAGGACCCGACAGATCGACCTCAGCATACCCTTGTCCATAGCCTTTATGCTAGAACAATATACTAGTTCATCCTGGCTCTAATAAAATAACCAATCTTTTGAAGGCACTGCATATCCAGTCATTCGACCTTGGTTATCGAGAACCACGGTCATAACGTACAGATTGTGTACATGTACGTCCGTTGGAGGTTCGGTTGGGCTTGGGAAGCTCAGTCGGCCGTGCACACTATTATGTAGCCAGTGGTAAGTAAAGCATAACATGTAAATGACCGAATATAATCAATCATACACACTTGCTTGAAACTATGAGGAGTGCAAAAATCAGGAAAATTGTGCAGCGAGCGAACAGACATTATTGAAGCTAGACTCCAAGAACATGGCTGGATCATGTCTTCCAGAAATTGGAAATTCCCCACCAGGAATGCTACAGTGATCATGATAATATTATATCAAAAAAGTATTCTTTCTAGACCAAAGAGTGGTATATTTGAAAAATATAGATAGAAATATTCACGATACTTCTCCAGACGTTTCGTTGTTCTGAACAACATCGTCAGTGGATAAAGAATGAGAGTGGATAATCAACGGCTTGTCCGCCAGCTCTTTTATAATATTATAATATTAAACCGCTTTGTTGTACATCCTACTAGCTGCTCCTGCCGTCACTCAGTCTGATGCTGCTGCTGCTGCTGCTGTTAGTGCTGTCAGTGATACTGTTGCTGCTGTATTCACTCCTTCTGTATTCACCTCCACTCCTGTTGCTGCTACTACTGTTGCTGCTACTACTGTTGCTGCTGCCGCTGCTATTGCTGTGCCCGCTCCTGCTATTGGCGCCGCCGCTGCTGCTGCTGTCGGTACCCCAGGCTCTGTTCCTGATGACAGTAGTGTCTGTGCTGCCAACGGTGTTGCTCTGCTTGACTCCTGTGAGGCGACTGCCGTTGCAGCAGCCGCAACTGCCTTGTTGAGCACCTGGTTGAATTCCTGCTGCTGCTGCTGGTGTTGCTGCTTTTGAACGCGCTGCAGTTCCTTCTGTTTCTCCATGTCCTCCACGAAGTCAACAACTTGGTCGATGATAGCACGCCTCTTGGTGATTCGTGGCTTTCCGCTTGGCGATGTGTCCTCGAACAGAGTGCGAATGCCCCGAGCTCCAGACTGCCGGTAGCACGTGACCAAGTTGTCCAGCACCAGCCCGCTAGTAGCTGCCCTCCCTATCATGACCTTGGACAACGCGCGCTCCTCTCTCATCGGCGCGAAAGTTTTCTCCCGCTGCTTGCTCTCTGCACGATGACGGTGACGCCTGACATAGGATGATACAGTGCAGGTGTGTACTCTCAGATCTTTCACTGACAGTCTTGCTGTTCGGAGAACATTCACCAGACCCACTACATCCCCGGCGGCGTCGTGTCCATCAACGGCGTCCGTACCGAGGTAGATCTGCAAGCTGGTCAGTTTGTACGTCGGCAACCTTGGTAGTGCACTGCGAAGAGCCGGTAATGAATCACTGAACCCTGACAGGCAGGCGACAAGCTCCTCCGAGGCGTGCTTCAGCAGTACTCTGGCATCAAAGGTATAGCAGTTGTGAGCAAGGAGCACACAGGGTGAGCGGTCGGTGGTTCTCCGCAGCCATGCGATGAACTGCTTTTCTGCCGCGTTCCAAGGCATGGACTCCACATCCTGGCCATGACGCTGCATTCTACTCCCACGGTTACCCATATCTACCATATTCAGACCCGTCAATTGAGTGGAATAGAACGATATGAAACCTGTGGGCTGTACGTACACGGAGAACAGCTTCGACGTGTCGGCGTAGTGGCAGGCTGCCAGCTGTATGATCTCCGACTTCTCGTTGCCACAAGTCTCCAGGTCGAACACGATGACACTGCGCTCTCTGAATCTGGGATGTCTCCTGAGCTCTGGCTCGGTCAGGATAGGCCACATCACGACGGGCTCCGTGCTAGCGGCAGCCCCGTCGTCATCCGGTGCTCTGGCATCTGCCTGGTCCGTTGTGAGCGTGCCAGCCGTCTGGGAGAGTTCATGTGACAGTGTAGGAGTATCACGTGACCGTGTGTGAGTATCATGTGACCGTGCAGCAATAACACATGACCTTGCGGCAGTATCACGTGACAGTGTAGCAGTATCATGTGACGGTGTAGGCAAGCCATGTGACTGCACTGCTGGCGACCTTGCAGTCTGTCTGGCCACACGCTCATTTACGCTAATGACATGTGATTCAGTGTCGTCAAAGTCGGTTTCCGAGCCGCTTGGACTGTCAGCTTGTCTTCCTGTAAGGACAGTGTGAGTTTGCTTCCCGCCCGGTGTAGACACTGTGGGTGAAGCCATTGTATCCTGAACATCGTTCACACTCTCCAAATCGGCAAGTGCTGTGGCAATAGCGGAGGGGAGTTGGGAATCCATGGATGACGATTCGTCCATGACGTTTGGTACAACACTGCTTTGGGAATCCATGGATGAAGATTCGTCCAGGACCCGTGGTATAACACTGCTTTGGGAATCGAGCAAGCTGGTTAAGGCGGGGCGTGCAACAGTAGGCATGCTGCTTTGTTCGGCTACAGAGGCATTTGCCATCGGTTCCGAAGCGTTCGTGTCATTTGTAGAGGCCTGTTCCGATTGGTCCGCATCATAATGTTCCGCCATGGGGATACTCTCGGTGTTTGTGAAATCCGGCTCAAGCCCGCTGAGTGTGTTGTCAGACCGTGAAGAGCTTTGTGCTTGACCAAGATTTAGACGCGGCAGCGATAGATGCAGACTGCGCCGCCTAAAACGCGGCGAGTTCGCCGCTGCTTCGGTTATCGCCTCAGTATCGGAGTCGGGAACACCTTCCGACCCTGAATCACACATTGCTGCTGCTGGTGGTGGTGGTGGTGATGACCCTTGCCGTATAGACGAGGGTATTGCCGAAGCATTCGCGGTGGCCACTTCACTTCCGCTATCCTCGTACTCAGTGTCACTTCCGTCCTCGGTGACGGATATTATCTCCACATCCACATGAGGCTGCCCGGCGCTGGAGGCTGCATTGTTCGCATTGTCGGCTAGTCGTCGTCCATTCCTCCTGGGTGTACTAGTATTATAACTGATTGAATGTTCTCTTAATATCCTGACCGGTGTCGGTGGGTTGTTATCATCATAGCTGAACGGATTCAAATCATCACTTCCGTTGTCATGCGTATCGACATCAGGCCGACTAACCCCATGGCAGGACGGTTGTGTTTGCTGCGATGCAGCACACCAACCTATGGTGTCGGACGGTGTGCTGCTGTAGTCCCCGTGCCTGCCTGCCTCTGCTCGTCCTCTGCTTGTGATGCTGCGTCGGGCTGCTTCGGCGTCGGCACCCGTGCCAGCCATCACCTCAGCATCACGTGACGTAATCGTTACGTCGGGGTGGTCGCACTCCAGTGCATTGCGGCATTGCATCAGTGGCGGCAAAAATGCGGACAGTGTGTCCCCTAGCTCAATGGGGCGGTGAGCACCAGTATCGGCAACACGCAAAGAGTACTCTCTTGTTTCGTTTGCCGTCTCCGTGTTGACGATGTTGTCATTCTCACAGCAATGATCTGGAGGGAAATCATTGCCATGCATACTTGTCATTGGCCATGCCGGTGATGCTAATGCCACGGACATGTGGGGGTGAACGCGTGCTGTTGTCGCTGCTAGTGCCACGGGTGTGTGTGGGTGAACGGGTGCTGTTGTTGCTGCTAGTGCTACGGGTGTGTGGGTGTGAACGGGTGCTGCTAGTGCCACGGGTGTGTGGGGGTGAACGGGTGCTGCTAGTGCCACGGGTGTGTGGGGGTGAGCAGGTGCTGTTGTTGCTGCTCTCACTGTTTGTACATTCATTGCAATACCGGCCGTGGTCGGCAGGAAAGAGCAGCTTAAACGCAACTGCGTGAGTTGTCTATGCCTACACCCATCTGATACGGTAGATTCCTCTTCAGTGGCCTGGAGTACAGGTGTCTCGATCCGGGTTGGATGCTCTTCAGCCTGCGTTGTATGCCCAATGTTCCTGCCGATGCCAATGACATAATATCCACTGCCGTCGTCATAATGTCCACTGCCGTCGTCATCATGTTCACTACCGTTGAGATCATGTCCACTGCCGATGACATGTCCACTGCCGTCGTCATCATGTCCACTGCCGTCGTCATCATGTCCACTGCCGTCGTCATCATGTCCACTGCCGATGACATCATGTCCACTGCCGTTGTCATCATCGTCTGATGAGTCATCGATAACCACCAGGGCTATTCCGTATTGTTTAGGACCCGTTGCCTTCTCGGTGTGCATGCAAGCAGGCTCTGTCTCAAGCACACCGGCATGGGTCTGAGAAGCCCGATCGTCCGAGCGCTGCCATGGGCCAGACGCAGCATCTACAGAGTCCATGGCAACAGTGGTGCCACACGCACGGCGATAGTCGTCACCACGAGCGTGTGTCCGTGTCCGCGTTGGCGACGGTAGTGACACAGGCGCTTGGGGCTGAAGAGGTGTTGCAGTTGTTGCTACCGCTACTGGTACGTTGACCGTAATACTGGCTGCTGCGGTTGTCGGCACTGTATCCGTGCTGTGCAGAGTACGGTGCTGCAGATGAGCATGATGGGCAAGTGTATGCCTGCACTCTAGAGATGGCAAGCAGCCGGCCGTGCACAGCGTAGAGTGCTCCTGGTCGCCGTGTCCGCACACAGCGCACGAATAGCCAGTGGACAGGCGCATGTATTGCTGGCACGGGCAATGCTCCGTGTCCTCACTGCCCGGACCCAGGCGAGTTACGTGAGAGCAGCCAAATCGTACACGGCCGCCGTGATCACGACTCTGTTCAGTCTGTATCCAGGCTGCGCTGTGCTCCATTCTGTGCTGCCTTTCAAAACTGGTGTGTGTTCAGTGTGGGTGACCGTTGTTGCCAGCTACTGCCACACTGTGCTAGTTGTTCAAGTGTGTATGTATACAATTACTAATACAGTACATGTACGTTTTCGGGGGTCCGCGCTACGATCAGATCATGTAGATCTACAACTACATGTACAGTACCTAAGAGCGTGGCGGCGCACTCAGTGTCTGGACTGCCGCCGCTGATAGTGACTCGGTGCCGCCTCCCCTCCCGCCGACGTGTGGCGAACTCGGTAGTCCACTGTCGCCTACTTGGGACGTCCCAAGTGCAGCTTCGAAGTCCTGAAATTTCGTTTTTTTCTTCTTGGCACTTTCCACGTCAGAGTTCAGGAGGGCAGTCGGTAAACACCTGCACTCAGCGACTACGGTAATTTTTTAGCCAGCGTAGATCTACTGTATGACCATTCGATCAAAAATATTAACATGCAATTGTGTATACCAGGTCCTAAATCTTACGAACAAACAGTTACTGTAAGTTTAACACCATCATTCAAGTACTCGTCGTACTCACTTTCGATTGATCGCCGGCCTAAAACTAAAACACTGTAAAAAGGGGCTGACTCAGTGACTGCATGCATGCAGACTTTTTGTCAGTTTTGTACTAGTATTGTAGTAGTTTCTGTACTGTGCTGTACTGACTGACTGTACTGTCTGTAGTCTGTAGACTGTAGTGTCGAGTAGATCTACGTAGTGCGGCATCATGACAATGCCAACATTGCGTTACCATGATAACCAACCAGGCCAGGCGTAGATCAGTAATCAGTAGATCTACGTACATGACATGTACATGTACATCACTGTACTAGTTTATTATTTATTTATTTATTCTCGTATCCGTCCCGAATGGGACTCACGACGGCAGAGCATGTGTGTGTACGTGTGTGAGAGTGGGAGAACCGGAAATGAAAAAGAAAAGAAGAGCCTTGCAATTTTGTAATAAAGAGCAGTAGTAAATGGCTGAGCAGTCGTTACTCCATTGTTTTCTGTCGCGGGCATAGCTGCCGAGATCACGAAGGCAGCTGGGCTTAAAAATGCAGATAGGTGCGAGGCGGACGTCTCGCTGGAGACTTGTGGTGAGGCAAGAGCGGGGTGCGCCTATTCGAAAGGGCTGACTGGTAGCATATGTACAGAAAGCAGTTTGTTTGATTGTTTGAAGTTTTATTTTACATCGCAAACCAAACGGGCATTGATGCCCAATATTATGATGGCGATAGAATAAAAAGTGTGGCTCGATAAAGCTGCACTTGAGAAAATGAGAAAACAGTCAATAGGAAGTATTTGTACCGGCAAGAGTACATATGGGGGTTATGTACTCTTGGTACCGGTAATTACAAGTCAAGTTCGAACGAAGTAACAATCAGGGAGAAATAGGAAGATGAGGACCTATACCAGAGGGAGGTGCTATTCGGCCATATTAGAAAAACACTTTTAGCAATCTTTTAAACGGGGTTGGTTGACGAGTGGACGAGAGTTCCTGTGCAGTGAGAGCAACATTTGCAGGGATATCACTTGGCTGGCGTAATACATGTCCTAATAGCTTCCACCTGTCCCGCTTGGCCATTTCAGATACAGAGCACTGGCTAGTCAGTGAACAGCATAATATAAATCTGCATTCGAGATGACATCTGGGCAGGTTATTCCAAGGTTTCTACATGTATGTGGCCATTTCAGTTACAGAGCACTGGCCAGTAGCAGCATATACATCTGCATTCGAGATGACATCTAGGTAGGAAATTCCAAGGTTTATACACGCCCGTGAGAAGCAGCGATCGGAGGTGAAGAGAGGGAGAGGTCGGCCAATGGAGTGTCGTGCATGTGATGCGAGTATGGTGGATACTGGATCAGTGTTCAGTCAAAGGTGTTGTCTATTGTATGTCTTGCACGTTGTGTGCGGAATTGTACGTTGGTGAGACCGAGCGGCCGGTGAGGGACCGATTCGCTGAGCACTACCGAGAGGCAAGGGCGATCGGGTGGCGAAGGCTCCCTGGGGCTTCCACTATTGTACCCAGCATCGAGAATCTTCAAAGTCTTCCAACTTTCTGCCCTTCCACCAGGCGAAGATTCTCGGCAGGGAGGCTTCGCTACCATCAAGGCAACAGCTTGAAGCTATCGAGATAAGGAAGCGCAAACCAGCAGTCAATTGCGAAGACGGTTGGCGCCTAATTGACTGATTGGATGTCACCGGATCGTCACTGGAATCGACACCCATCTCCTCGAACTAGCACTGGACTTTACCACCTGACACAGCACATACACATACTGAAGTACTTTGCACATACACTTGCCATATACATAGATCGCCTTTAGCATTCCCACACTTGAAAGTGTTCTTGTACGTGCTGTGATAGTCTTATCTTCTTTCTTCTGTTTAGGTCACCTTGCAGGTGATGATTGTAAACTTTAGTTAGTGTTAGTGTTAGTTTTCTTGCCTTCTTGCCAAATTGTGTCTGTGTGTACTGTATAAGCAGAAATACTCGTCTGGAATTTAATTTCGTCTTTTTCGCCCAAGGAGCTTTTGGACTAAATTAAATGTAGGACGAATATCGATTTGTCCAGCTTTTCTATACACTCTTATGATCCATGGACGAAATTTTCAACCGGACGAACTCCTTTTCTTTGGAGTTGGACGAAATTATTGACCGACGAAATTTTCTGCCTCTACAGTTTGTGTGAGTTTTCTGGCTCTTCTTTCGTTCTGTTTAGGTCACCTTACAAGTGATGATTGTTTAGTTTGCTGGCCTTGCCTCCACGATGTGTTAGTTCTAGAACATTCATCTGCCTGCATTATTCGTCTTTATTATTTCGTGTTTTTGCCTCCCCTTCCCAATGCCTTGATGATGCCTAATGGGCGAAATATTGGCAAAGTTATTTATTTATCTATTTGGTGCAGCTGAGAGCCTGTTGCCGGAATGGCGGCATTTTCAAGTGCAAGAAATACACTGCAATGGAGTTTGAGAATTCTGAAGAAACGTTTTATACAAGTCATGCTGTAATTGTAAAGAGAAGGATCCTAGGAGGGGAAGTCCCACATGTTTTGACTTTCCATTTCAGCAAAACACCTGACCTGCCACTACATAGATCTACGTACCTGAGCAGCTCAGCTGCGCTAGCGTTGGCTACATCGATCTGCACTCAGTCAACATGGTCAGCGTTGATGCAGCTGCAAGTGCAACACAGCAAAGTGCAGATAAAAGTACAATCATGTAAACTATGGACTATGGACTATGGTGCTAAATAAAGAGTCGTGTAGATCTACTGACAGTACTGTACTGTAGTCTAGAACAAGGGCAGATCACACAACTACAGTCTACAGCCTGGTAACTAACTAACACACGCCGGGGTCCCAAAACTAAGTTACTAAGATTAGTAGTTACTGTACTTAGCAAAAGCGAGAAAACGGAGCCTAGCTTTCTCGCTAGTGGTGATCTCAGTGTTGAAAGGATCCGAGACATAGTCATAGTTTGGGTATTTCATAGTTGTGGGTACGGGTGCTGGCGAACAAGTAACAGTTAGTTAGTTACTTAGTTTTGGGGAGTCTCGATGACCCAATCGATGCAGTCGCAGCCAGTGCACGCAAGGACAGGTTGTGTGTCCTGCAGAAGTGTGTCTGTCTGGTACCAGTACTGCTCCAGCTGTTCGCTATCATCGCTTCCGCGATGGGCATGTCTGAGGTATGAGTACTGCTCGAGCTCCGTAATAGTGTAACTGTTTCATTTACGTGTTCGACGGATACGTAGATCTACGGTCCGACCACCTGTCGGTCCCCGGCTACGGGCTAGGCTCCCTTCAACGCGTAACGTGGTAACCGGCTGCCATGAAGCCTTGAAGGTGGGCCATGGGTGTTGCCCGGTGAGACTGACCTAGCTCTCGGAACACACAGCCGGCCTTGCGTGATTTCCCCATTGGCATTGATGTACAACGCGAACAGCCGTGAGGACGCACCATACCCGACGTCACGGGCGCGGCGCTAGCCTCCACCGGACCACGCACCCACCAACCCAACCGTTGCCACCACTTGAGCTGTGGAGAGTGGTGTCCGTGGTTTGCATGTACGTGATAGGGCTCTAGAAACGCCGGTTTGTTCTGCTAAACGACACGGCTACAATACCAGACTCCAGAGTACTGGCGTAGGGACCCTGACTCTGACAGGGCCTAGGGGACTCTGAGCAAGTCAGCCTTCAGCAGCAGTACCCGTTGAACGTGCACCCAGCTGGTGTATCATCGAGTTACTAGTAGGCCAGGCCATGTTGCAACGCAATGGACGTAGCAGTACAGCGGATCGGCACTATGATCATGCGCATCAGTTGCGTTTCAGCTGCTCTTTCCTGCACAACGCGGGCAGCCGCTTTGAAGACGGCGCAGTGGCGCGATGCGACTGCCCGCAGTATACGAGGTCGGCGGCGAGCCACGCGTGTGCAGGCTGCGGGCACAGTCACTTGGAGCATTCCACGCTGTGCCCGACACGCTGCCTGCTGAGTCGGTGCGAATGCACGGCATTCTCTCAGCGCGGTGCAATCGCTGACGAGTGCTACCAATGCAGACATGCGCTGGCCCATCATGCAGATAGACAGGCAGTGCACAGTACCGATGCCGTGCCGACCACTGCCGGTATTGCAATGAATGTACAAACAGTGAGAGCAGCAACAACAGCACCTGCTCACCCCCACACACCCGTGGCACTAGCAGCAACAACAGCACCTGCTCACCCCCACACACCCGTGGCGCTAGCAGCAACAACAGCACCCGTTCACCCCCACACACCCGTGGCATTAGCATCACCGGCATGGCCAATGACAAGTATGCATGGCAATGATTTCCCTCCTGATCATTGCTGTGAGAATGACAACATCGTCAACACGGAGACGGCAAACGAAACAAGAGAGTACTCTTTGCGCGTTGCCGGTACTGGTGCTCACCACCCCGTCGAGCTAGGGGACACACTGTCCGCATTTTTGCCGCCACCGCTGCAATGCCGCAATGCACTGGAGTGCGACCACCCCGACGTAACGATTACGTCACGTGATGCTGAGGTCATGGCTGGCACGGATGCCGACGCCGATGCTGCCCGGCGCAGCATCACAAGCAGAGGACGAGCAGAGGTGGGCGGGCACGGGGATTACGGCAGCACACCGTCCGACACCATAGGTTGGTGTGCTGAATCGCAGCGAACACAATCGTCCTGCCATACTGAGTCAGTGAACACCGATATTGTTTGGCGGCCTGACGTCGATACGCATGACAACGGAGCTGACAACGGAAGTGATGACTTGAATCCGTTCAGCTATGATGATAACCGCCCACCGACACCAGTCAGGATATTAAGAGAACATTCAATCAGTTCTAATACTAGTACACCCAGGAGGAATGCACGACGACTAGCCGACAATGCGAACAATGCAGCCTCCAGCGCCGGGCAGTCTCATGTGGATGTGGAGATAATATCCGACGACGGCGGAATTGACACTGAGTGCGAGGATAGCGGAAGTGAAGTGGCCGCCGCGAATGCTTCGGCAATACCCTCGTCTATACAGCAAGGGTCATCACCACCACCAGCAACGTGTGATTCAGAGTCCGGGTCGGAAGTTGTTCCTGACTCCGATACTGAGGCGATGACCGAAGCAGCGGCGAACTCGCCGCGTTTTAGGCGGCGCAGTCTGCATCTATCGCTGCCTCGTCTAAATCTTGCTCAAGCACAAATGTCTTCACGGTCTGACAACACACTCCGCGGGCTCGAGCCGGATTTCACAAACACCGAGAGTGTCCCCACGGCGGAACATTATGATGCGGACCAATCGGAACAGACCTCTACAAATGACACGAATGCTTCGGAACCGATCGCGAATGCCTCTGTAGCTGAACAAAGCAACATGCCTACTGTTGCATGCCCCGCCTTAACCAGCTTTCACGATTCCCAAAGCAGTGTTATACCACGCGTCATGGACGAATCTTCATCCATGGATTCCCAAAGCAGTGTTATACCACAGGTCATGGACGAATCGTCATCCATGGATTCCCAGCTCACCTACGCTATCGCCGCAGCACTGGCCGATTTGGAGAGTGTTAACGATGTTCAGAATACAATGGCTTCACCCTCAGTGTCTACACCGGGCGGGAAGCAAACCCACACTGTCCTTCCAGGAAGACAAGCTGACAGTGGTAGCAGGCCAAGCGACTCGGAAACCGACTTTGACGACACTGAATCACATGTCATTAGCGTGAATGAGCGCGTGGCCAGACAGACTGCAAGGTCACCAGCAGTGCAGTCACATGGCTTGCCTACACCGTCACATGATACTGCTACACTGTCACGTGATACTGCTACACCGTCACATGATACTGCTACACTGTCACATGATACTGCTACACCGTCACATGATACTGCTACACCGTCACATGATACTGCTACACCGTCACATGATACTGCTACACCGTCACATGATACTGCTACACCGTCACATGATACTGCTACACCGTCACATGATACTGCTACACTGTCGCATGATACTGCTACACTGTCGCATGATACTCCTATACGGTCACGTGATACTCCTACACGGTCATGTGATACTCCTACACGGTCACATGATACTCCTACACGGTCACGTGATACTCCTACACGGTCATGTGATACTCCTACACGGTCACGTGATACTCCCACACCGTCATGTGATACTCCTACACTGTCACGTGATACGGTTACGCTGTCATGTGACGCGGCTGGACGACCACAGGTCTCAGCTGGAGCAAGGCGACTGACCATGCCTTCTGATTCGGACACCAACTCAGCACGCCATGCATGGCGCAGTGTGGCTGCTCATGGGACTTCCGGAGGCTCCTCAACGTCGTCATACTCGTTCAGGGATCATAGTCGAGACGAATGTGCGGTGGCTATGAGTCCCGAGGACATGTACCCATCTTCACACCGTCCCATGCCGAATCCAGCGCTGGCAGGGACATTTCACACAACAGCGGCAGCGCAACGCCATGTACAGACGCCCACGCCACTCCGGAACACAGCCAGCGCCAGCATTAGCAGAGCAGCCGCAGGCACAAATGTGCACGCTGCATCTGCTGCTGGAAGAGTAGCCTCTCACCCAAGCTCAGCGACACTGCCCAGGGTACGCAGTGGCGACACTTCTGCTGCTTCCGGAACTGCCACCAGTTCATCGCTGTACTCGTTTGAGGATCGCAGTGGCCGAATATCGGACAGTAGTGACAGTCCTGAGCAACGCGAGAATGGGACGACTTCCACACCGCAACAGCAGCCGCAGCAGCAGAAAAAGAAGAAGGACAAGCCGAATGAGCAGCCGGGATCTCGGCAAAAGGAAACACCGAAAGACCAACAGCAAAGAGCCAAGAAGAAAAGGCATCAGCAACAACAGCAGCAGCCGGTAACGCCGGCAAGGACTGGAGAGGAAGCAGTGGCCGCATTCAAAAGAAGCACTGTCAGAATCAACGCTACTGCACTTTTACCACCAGGGCAGCCTCTCCAGCAGAATGGTGCAGAAGTACGGCCAGCGCAAGACACGCTGCATGATGCTAGACGGATTATTCAGAACCCTTGCCCTCATCCGGGCGGTCTACTTTCTTCGGCAGATCAGGATACCACGAGAAAGGAAGGGCCACCGAGGAAGCGGAGTGCCACAGCAGTGGCCAGTAATGCGCCTCAGCCGAAGAAAAAGAAGCCAAATGTTTCTGCCGGAGGCACTGGTAGCCGGCACTCCACGCTTACACAGAATGGTGACGCAGGGAATGGTGACGCACGTGATGATACCGTGCCGTGCACAGCCATAGAAAGCCATCACACGCCGATACCGACATCGAGTAGCGACGGCGCGCACGCCTCCGGATCCTCGCTAGACAGCAGCTCACAGTCACAGACACCGCTGACTGGCATGCGTGCTCAATATGGGTGCAACGTCAGGTTTGACGTGTTCGCAACACCGCCTGGTGAGGAAAGCCCTGTTGTGGTTGACATTGAACAATGGAACGGCGAGGATGCCACCGAGGATGCCACCGAGGATGCCACCGAGGATGCCACCGAGGATGCCACCGAGGATGCCACTGAGGATGCCACCGAGGATGCCACCGAGGATGCCACCGAGGATGCCACCGAGGATGCCACCGAGGATGCCACCGAGGATGCCACCGAGGATGACACCGAGGAGGACTCCGGTGATGATGATGATGACTACTGTGTGGAAAACGACTCGACGTACGAGGGAAAAATCAACTGGCGGGGCACCGCCGTGGGTTGCCGTCGTCCCCGCCGCCAGCTAGCCAATGATCCTAGCCGAACCGATGGTACTAGCCGAACCAATGGTGCTAGCCGAACCAATGGTCCTAGCCGAACCAATGGTGCTAGCCGAACCAATGGTACTACAGCCAATAGTTCTCGCGGAGGCAGTGGTACTACCAGAGCCAATGGCACTAGCCTAGCCAATGGTACCAACCGGGGCAATGGTGCTAGCCGAGGCAATAGTTCTCACGGAGGCAGTGGCCCTAGCAAAGCCAATGGTGCTAGCGGTGGCACTAGCGGAGGCAACGGTTCTCGCGGAGGCAGTGGTGCTGGAAGAGGCAGTGTTGCTGGTAGAGGCACTAGTGCTGGCAGAGGCACTGGTGCTGGCAGAGGCACTGGTGCTGGCAGAGGCACTGGTGCTGGCAGAGGCACTGGTGCTGGCAGAGGCAATGTTGCTAGCCGAGGCACTGGTGCTAGCAGAGGCAATGGTTCTCACAGAGGCAGTGGTGCTAGCAGAGGCCGTGGTGCTGGCAGAGGCAGCGGCAGTGGACATGGTCGTAACACTACTCATGGATAGATGTGGCAGACGTTGTGGTGGTGATCATGGCCGCTGTGGCAGAGGTGGTGGGTGTCATCATGGAGCGTGTCAGGTTCGCCGTGGAACCCGAGTAACGCGGTGATAGTGACTGCAACCACCGTGGTACGCAACGACAAACGTAGATTTGCTGGCTAGGACCGTGCTATGCAGTCACGGGGCATGCACAGCCACGCAGTCACGGAGAGCTGCACTCTCACGGTCTTTTTGAATTCGTCAAATCAAGTCAGCCTGTTGCATGCACATGCAGCCAGCGCAGTGGCCTTGGATCGCTCTCTATCTCTAGCAAGCAACAGAGCTACCCATGGTTCACGTTAGGTGCAGCGAGGACTATTGTGAGTATGTGACCGCAAGTTAATAGTGCCAACAGCACGAGGGCACACTCTGATTAACTGTGCTGCTCGAAGTTTGTGCGATAGTTCTGGTTGCTTGTTTTTGTTTTGTTTTTCGCAAGAAGGCTCGGACATCAATCCAGTCTACTCGGTGATGGTTTATGTGGCTATGGATGCAGCAATCTCTTTCATGTTACAGCCAGTCTGCTAGCTCCTGAGTGTGCCAATAGCCTCTTTGGTACTGTATTTGGTACTGTCTTTGATGCTGATCACACTAGCCGATAGTACATCTACATCCACGGCCAAACCAGTGCAGGCTCTGTTGCATCTGGCTTTGTCACCACCCCGTATTTGCTGTCACAGTGTGTGTGTGCTCCCCCTCTCCCAGGGAGACCCACGTGACCAGTTTTGGCAGTGAGCAACAAGTGTATGTGTGTGTGTGTTTGTGTGTGTGTGTGTGTGTGTGTGTGTGTGTGTGTATGTGCGTGCGTGTGTGCTTGGGCGAGTTTGCTGAAGTTGTTCATTGCTTTACATACTTGAAGAATTCTTGAATGCTTATCGGAAAGTCCTCTATGAAGTGTGTGTCGCTATGAACTCCTAGGGTTATGGTTTAACAACGGACTCGTCTTGAACTAGCGAGTCTGGCTTGTTTAGGTTTACGATGTAATGATGCGATGAATCATGTTTGGATTATAGGGCTCAGTAGGTATTTTACTACTCCCTGGATCTTTTTCTTCTTGTTATCAAGTGATCTGCTATCGACTCCGAGTATCGAGTGTTCTGGAGCGTTCACCGTTGAGAAGTCTAATACCTGTACACTCTGACCTGTCGCATGCACATGCGTCTGCATTTATGTGTGTGCATGTGTGTATATGTGCATGTGTGTGTATGTGTGTATATGTGTATGTGTGCAGGGATGGATTTACTGTCATGTTTTAGCATAGCAGTTTTCGCTGTGCAAAATCTCAATTGTGGCGTAAGCTACAAAAAGCATGGATAGCCTGTACATGTATGTATGGCAGTTTTCTGCGTGTCACTGTGATTTTTAAGTAGCAGTAGATTGATGTTGCGTAGCAAACTGCGATGCGATACCGGATAAATTCATCCCTGGTGTGTGTGTGTGTGCACGTGCACGCGTGTGCTTCTGCTCGTTGTCCTTGCCCATGTACTGTGGTGTGCATGCGGTTCACGACGGTACTGTCGGTCGCCAAAGAACTGGGGGGGGGGGTCAGCCTCATACCCTAGAACCATTCCTATTTTGTTTCATGTACATGTACTCAGAGTCTGCTCTAGAATTTCAAACCAACAGGGTACACATGTACCTGGCAAAACTCTTGCAACCGGGTCAGAGCCGGGCACGTTCAAGTGCGGCTACTGCGTGTACGCGTACATCAGGGAACTGTAACTATTTTAGGAATCCCGTATGTATAGGTACAGTACATGCATTCCCTACCAGGTCACAAGTGACCCGGTGTTCTTTTTCCACACGGGCCAAAGTAGATCTACCCTCAAACCGGGTCGCTGGCCTGGCTCATGGAGCAGACCTGGTATACCGGTACCACAGTATATTATGCACAGTTGAGTCACGGGACTCACTCACCGTGTATACCGTAAAGTACCGTTGATCCGCCCCCGCCCCCTGTCGATTTTCTACCTGTGAAGCGATTTCGGCGTATACAACGAAGTACGATGTTGAACCGACGCTTGCACTGCTGTACACAATATGTGCACAATTTAGCACATCGAGTCTGATCCTCTAAGTTGTTGTACATCGTACTGCACTTGACGGCCTTGATCTAATTCCCGCCCCCTGCCGAAAAACCAGCAGGGAAGCGACATGGCGTGGGGGGGGGGATCAACGGTACTTTACGGTACATTTGTACAGTGCTGGCAAATGAAATCCGACCCCCTGAGCGATGGGTTCACATTCTAGCGGTCTCTGTTTCGTAGTTTTACCATCCCGTGTTGGGTCTTTGCGATGTGAGCGCACCGCTCAGGGGGTCGGATTTCAGTTGTACATTGGTATGCTATGCTTGGTGAAATCCTAGCCTGTTCGTTCTGCGCCGTCCAACTGCACTGTAGCCAGTTGATTTTTTCTTTCCAAGATTCCTTGTGAACCTCTCTTCCTTCAATTATTATGGTGAGGCGATTTCAGCCAGTCAGCGACCGATCTACAATGTAAGTGGGGTATATTCAGTGATATACCCCGCTCGGTTCACATGGGTCAAGCCAAAGTATATAAGGAGGCTTTAGTGTTGGTCACGCGCTACAGTTGGTCACAGACTACAGTACAGTGCCATGGGACGAGAGAGCTTGGAAGCTCAGGGCCCTACGCTATGCTTTTTTTGCCAAGCTCATCGTGCATGTTATTAGAACTGATGGAAATGTTTTTTCCTTTGATTGGCTACATCATTGTATTGCAAAAACGTTTCAATCAGTTTGAATATGAGTTAGGCAAAAGTATTTGCAGAATCAATTTATTGCGGATTGTTATTTTTCTCTCACTTCATCCACTTTTGGTTTGCTTCCTTTACTTTTTATCTGAGAGAAATTATCTCCATATAATCGGATTTTCTGGCTTTTGTAGTAAAGCATTGACCTGTTGAGCCACTAAGGTAAAATTATATTCCATACAATACAATACGATACGATACAATAATACAACAATGTCCTTACCTTGATAGTGTGCTTGTGCTTATCTGTTGCTGACGGCCGAATGCATGGCGCCCCTCGGTAGGTGGGCCACCTCGGGACAACGGAACTGCAGCATGTACGCGAACAGGCCTACGCCTCCTTTTCGGCGCCCCTCGGTAGGTGGGCCACCTCGGGACAACGGAACTGCAGCATGTCCGCGAACAGGCCTACGCCTCCTTTCAACGGACGCCCGATAAGCTTGGCCGAGCCGAAGTCAATCTCCTTGGCGCTGGGCGTGCCAACACTGCTCGACGGTTTGGTGTCTCCATGCAAAACGCCGATGCTATGTTACTAGTATGTAGGTACATGCCACACACATTCCAAGCCGTACCGATTATCGAGACAGATCAGATGCGGTTGACGCGCCTGTTGTAAGTTTTTTTTTTTTTTTTTTTTTTACGGGGTAACGGCCTCTTTTACGGGCAAAATAAAGTCATGTAGACGTGAAAAAAATTGAGATACCATGAAAGTTAAAATAGAATTTTATTCAAGTACAATACATTGGGAAACTCCAAGAAATTCCATGTAAAACGGACGGAATTCAGTTTTCAATGGCCGATGCCTACCCCAGCACCATCCTGCGTCGACAGGCCTGTCAGGCGCCTTCTAGACCCGCGTAGCCTGTTGTAAGTAGCTTCCGCCCTCATCATGTACCAGCGCAGGTCTCCAAACGGAAAATACTCACATTCCAAGCCATACCGCTTAGGCCAAGTAAAAAAAAAAGCTAGATGATCGTCCCCGGCCCGTCCGCCCCAGTTTTTGTCAGCGCCCCAAGAAATATTTTATTTTTTAAATCGTGAGTTTTTGCCGAAATCGTTGGTTTTTTACCGATCGCGGATGCAGGAAACATGTGCACGCGTTTTCCGTGACGAACTTACTTTGTCAAAAGTAAATTGTTGGTAGTTGCTTCGCGATGTCGAAGTTCTTGACTGTGTTCCAGCTTGACGCAGATCTGTAGAGTGAGTTGTTGTCCTCTGTTTCGAATCATCTGGTGCTGTCGAAAAGAAAAAAAAAGAAAAAAAGAGAAAAAAACCTTGATGTTGTTGTGTACACTGTGTGCATGAGAGGGTAAAAAGTAAAAAAATGCGCATGCTGAAAGAGACACCCGACAGTGGCCCCATGCGTCTGGATGATAAAGTTGGCAATCAAACTGTCCGTGACATCCTAAAGGACAAACATCCTGCCGCTCAGCCAGTCGACCTGTCAGCTGTGATGGACGGACCAGTGCCCCCCACACCTCACCACATTATGTTCGCTGCCCTGGATCGAACTATGATCCGGAAGGCTGCCCTGCAGACAGAAGGAGCTGCTGGCCCATCAGGCATGGACGCATCTGGGTGGCGACGAATGTGCTCAGCTTTCGGCCAAAACTCAGACCAGCTCTGCGATGCCGTAGCATCATGTGCAAGAAGACTCGCAACCTCCGCGGTGGACCCGGCTGCACTGGAAGCCTATGTGGCGTGCCGACTCATGGCGCTCGACAAGCAGCCAGGCGTCAGACCCATTGGGATCGGCGAGGTCGTTCGAAGGATAGTTGGAAAAGCCATTCTCTACATCACCGGGCCTGCAGTTGAAGCCGCGACCGGTTGCACCCAGCTGTGCGCAGGCCAGGAAGGAGGCATCGAAGCAGCCATACACGCCATGCGCACTGCCTTCGCCGACGAGGCAACAGAGGGTGCCTTGTTTGCCGACGCTTCCAATGCATTTAATCGCATCAACCGGGACGTATGCCTGCGCAATGTCCAATGCCTGTGTCCCGAGCTGGCGACAACTCTTGTTAACACATACCGAAGCCCTGCCCAGCTATTTGTGGATGGCGAGACAGTGTGGTCTTGTGAGGGCACCACCCAAGGGGACCCGCTCGCCATGGCCATGTACGCTATCGCCACAATCCCCCTCATTGAAGAATGCCGTAGCAGTGGAGCCACCCAGAGTTGGTACGCCGATGACGCTACAGCAGCGTCAACACTGCTGCCACTTCGCCACTGGTGGGACATCCTATCGCAGCGCGGTGAGGCCTATGGATACTTCCTCAACCCGGAGAAATCCGTACTACTAGTGAAGCCTGCACATCTCGAGCGTGCCACTGAATTGTTCGCTGACACACGTATCCAAGTCCGCTCAGATGGGTACCGACATCTAGGTGCAGCACTCGGCACCCCGGAATTTGTAGCGGCTTATGTCACGGGCAAGGTGAACACATGGTGCAAGGAGGTTGACAAGCTGTCTACATTTGCCCACTCCCAGCCGCATGCAGCGTATTCCACCTTTACGCACGGTCTACGGCATCGCTGGGCATTTGTGGCCAGGACAGTACCCAACACAGCTACCCTGCTGGAGCCCTTGGAGCAGGCGGTTGTACACCTGCTACTCCCAGCCCTCCTCGGTCGCCCCTCTCCAGGCTCTGCCGAACGGAAGATCCTGGCTCTACCATGTCGCTTGGGTGGCCTGGGACTAATCATCGTCTCTTCGTTAGCAGAACAGTTCCTTTCATCCTGCCACATCACCCAAACGCTGGTTGAGGGAATCCTCTCTGGCATGTCCTACCTGCCCGACGTCACGCAGCTTACGCTGCACAGGAAGTCCGAAGTCCGCAGCCGACAGCGGAATAAGGAGTCAACCATCGCCAAGGATGTCGTCTCAGCCGCTTCACAGGAATTGCAGCGTTGTGTGGAGCTTGCTTCGCTGAAGGGGGCCTCCAATTGGCTCACGTGCCGGCCACTGAAAGTCCACGGCTTTTCCCTCAGCAAGGCTGGCTTTCGCGACGCCATCCATGTTCGCTATGGCTGGGTCCCTCCAATGCTGCCGTCCGCCTGCGTCTGTGGTCAGGCATTCAGCACCGCGCATGCCCTGTCGTGCCCTATTGGAGGGTATCCGTCACTCCGGCATAACGAGCTGCGAGACATCACCGCCTCACTGCTTTCACGCGTCGCACATGACGTAAGTGTGGAGCCGTCTCTCCAGCCCCTTTCCGGGGAACGGATGAGGTATCGTACTGCAATCAGCGAGGATGGCGCCCGCCTAGATGTTGCTGCCAGCGGGGTGTGGGGCGGCCGTTTCGAGAGGACATTCTTTGATGTCCGGGTATTTAACCCTTTTGTCCGATCGAACACCGCTCCCTCCCTCAACAGCACGTTCACTAAGCACGAGAAGGAGAAACGGCGACACTATGAAGAGCGTGTTAGGGAAGTAGAGAAGGCATCGTTCGTCCCCTTGGTGTTTTGTGCCTCCGGTGGTCAAGGCAAGGCTGCCTCTGCTTTCCTCAAGCGCATTGCATCAATGCTGGCCGAGAAGCGGAAGGAACCGTTCTCCATGGTGATGGCTCACCTTCGTTGCCGCCTAGGGTTTGCCCTCATCAGATCGGCGATTGCAAGCTTAAGAGGTCATCGATCCAGGCGAGCACCTTTGGATCAGCAGCTGGAGTGCCCCTCAGCTCTAGTGAATGCTGAGTGTCGTCTGGGTTAACCCTCACCTCTTGTTATATGGCTGTATTGTTTTCGCTATTAGTTAGTTTTCTTTGTTATGATTTCTTTTTTTCTTTTTCTTTTTACCAGGCGTGGGCCATCCCCTGAATTCATAGGTGCCAAACATTCTTTTTCTTTAGTTTTCTTTGTAAATATGATTTCTTTTTCTTTTTACCAGGCGTGGGCCATCCCCTGAATTCATAGGTGCCAGACATTCTTTTTTCTTTCTTTTTCTTTTTACCAGGCGTGGGCCATCCCCTGAATTCATAGGTGCCAACTCTTTTTAAAAAAAAAAAGTAAAAAAATAAAAATAAAATCCTCCCGCCCTCCCCGATTTTTCCAAAAAAAAGGACGATCATCTAGTAATTTTTTTACTCGGCCTTATCGAGACAGATCCGATGCGGTTGACTGAGGCCTGGTTCGACTGATTTGACGACAAGGATCGCTGTCATACACTACGCAAGTCTTGAATGCTCGATGCACTGCACTATCGGCCTACATGCATTCCCGGGATCCCCCGGTTCGCATACACTCATTTTCTTTTAAGAAACCGTACAATTAAAATTGTACGGTATCGCGGTACTCTTGATGGTACGGGACCCTTGATCGTACGGGACAGGTACGGGATAGCGCCAGACGGCCGGATGGCACAAACAAAGTGACAAACACCAAATCGCGGCTCAGTGTACCCGGTTATACGTGCTTCCGTCGAGATAGGTCAGCGAACCAAAGGGCCCAGTTCCAAGGTTATGGTGGTGTTGCCATCCTTGTACGAGATGGGACATTTTTGCATGCAGCCCAGCGCTCAGACCTTGACTCTCCCCAATGCGAAACCATATATGCATATGGGTTGAGCTTGGACTTCCTGCAGACCTGGGTGCTAATCCTATTCATTGGCTGTACTATTATTTTTTTTTTTACAATGATCACAGCGCGCTCACAGGCAAAGACAAAAAATTGCATAGTGGGAGCATAGTGATGGTGAGGCTTTTTGCCCTCAGCCGACCTGAGGTCTCGACGTCATGGGGACATAAAACGCACCAAAAAAAAGAGAAGAAAAATGAAAGGAGTGACAGGTACATGATACGAAATGTTAGGAGGAGAGACAGTACATTAGAAGGAGGGGAATGATAAGACAGACAGTGCTAGGAGGAGAAGGAGAGAAAAGAAGAACAGACGTTATTGGGAATAGTATGTGGAGCGGAATTTGGAAGCCATGGGGTGAGGCAGATATGATGCTGATGATCGGAGATGGTCATGTGCCCACGACCAGTCGTTGGTCTTCAAATAGCGGTTGGCTGCAACTTTGAAGTGTTGCAAGTTCTTGGTGCAGAAAGGACCAGAGAAGACTCCGGCGGGCAGCTGGTTCCAGACGGGGACAACTGCGTGAGGGTAGGCTCGACACAGATTGTTTCGGGAACGGACTGGAAGTTCATTGGCCAGTTGGTGTGCGTGAGCATTACATCTCTGGAATGTACTACGGGTGGAGTGGACTGTTCGGTGTTGGGCTGCTGGGGTGGCAGCATCCTCTGTAGAAGGGGATGCGCATCCGGACAATGCATCTTGTACAGGAGGCAAAGTGCTGCAACCATCCGACGAAGAGCAAGACTCGGCAGCCAACACATTGGGGCGATGGCACGGATGGCCCGAGCTTGCACACGGTCGAGTCTTGCAAGATGGGATGGGGCCGCTCCCATCCAGACAATAGGGCAGTACTCCATCACTGGGCGCACAAAAGCATTGTAGGCTTGGATGCGACCGGGCACGTCTAGGAGGTGGAAAGCCTTACGCAAAGCACCAAGTCGCTGTGTTGCCCGGAGGGCTACGGTACGAAGGTGGCGCCGGAAGGTAAGCTGACCATCGAAACTGATGCCCAAGATTTTGAGCTCCTCCTGTTCCGTCACATTTGATCCGTTGAAGTCAATCGGTGGCATGTCCCATTGGGTGCGGTGGAAACTGACGGTCAGTGCCTGGGATTTGGCTGGTTCAAATTTTATTTTCCATTCTTGACCCCAGCGGGAGATGTTGTTGACTGCTAGCTGGAGGGCTTGGGTGGTATCTTCTTGGGTGGTGGGGGTGATGTTGGCATACAGCGTAGTGTCGTCTGCGAACGAGGCTAGGTCAGCACCGGCTGGTACGTGGTCCTCGCAGTCGTTCACGTACATGAGGAAGAGGGTCGGACCCAGAATACTGCCCTGGGGGACTCCAGCCTGAATTGGGAGCCTTAAGGATGTCTGGCCACAAATGACCACTTGAAGGTAGCGTTCACTGAGGTAGCTGCTGAGCCACTGGTGCAGTTGCCCACGCAGGCCGTATACGTCGGACTTGTGTAGCACACCGGGGTGTGATACGCGATCAAACGCACCGGCGATGTCAATGCGAGTATGCGTGCTGCGCCTTTCTCCCCGGCTGTATGCAGCCACTGGTGGTGGAGGCTGGTAAGGAGGTCGGCTGCACTATGACCATGGCGAAATCCAAACTGTCTGGTGGAGAAGACGTTGTTCGACTCGAGGAAATTTGTGATTGTTCTGTTGATGATTGTCTCCATCACCTTGGACAGAATACACAAGAGCGAAACTGGACGGTAATTGGAGGGTAGAGACTTTGATTTCCGTTTGAATACAGGGACTATGTTGGCAATCTTCCATGTCTTGGGCTGTATCCCAGTTTGGAAGCATTGGGTAAACAGTATGGAAAGCGGTTGCGCCAGTTCAGCAGAGCAGGCTTTCAACAATCGTGCCGGTATCCTATCCGGCCCGGTTGCCTTTGATGGGTTGAGCTGGCGAAGGGTGCGTTCAACAGCAGCGACGCGGAAACGGACGTCCGAAAGAGCCTGGTCAGTTCGAGGTCTGACATATGGGAATGGGGCGGACAGGTCATCTTGTGCGAGACTGCATTTGCTTGCAAAATAGCGGGCCATGCATTCTGCTTCGTCTGCGCTGGCTGTGTACTCTCGTCCATCGGGATCACGTAATGTAGGAACAGATTGACTACGCCCATTGCCAGAGGCACGCTTGACGGTGCGCCACCAGTCACTGGGTGGCAGCTGCTTTGAGGTCATTTTCTGTCTCAGTTTCGCCATGAAAGCACTCTTGGCAGTTTTGAGACAGGCAATCGTTGAGAGCCGTGCATCTTGGTAGGCTGACTGCCGATCGTGGTCAGACTGGTCGTCTCTCAGGCACCTCCATGCACGTCGTTTCCTCACTGTGGCAGCAGTGCACTCAGGGGTCCACCATGGAGGATCTGATGCTCGGGTTTTCAGAATTTTAGAGGGGATGAATCTCTTCATACCCTCCAGGATCCTCTCTGTGATGCCAGTGCATGACAGGTCTGGATCAGTCCGAGCAATAGCTGCCCAATTGGTGGTTCTGAAGAAGTGACGGAGCCTGGCCCAATCAGCATGCTGATACCTCCATACTGTTCTTGATATGGGAGGCTCGCGTGATGCACGGATCTGGAAGTCAGCAAGTATACAGGCATGGTCAGATTTGCCAAGAGGTGGCAAGACAGTAGCCAATGATTCTACGGGTCGGTCGGACATAATCAGGTCCAGTGTGTTGCAGCCACGCGTTGGTTGGTCGACTAGCTGCTCAAGACCGTGCATGTAGCACATGTCCTCTGCATACATAATTATAAGTTTTTGTGGACTCTGGCTTGCGCCAGACGTTACTGCATTCCACTTCGGACCCTGCCTAGCGCCAGACGTTACTGCACCATCGCCCCGCATGCATCCCTCCTATACACTTCGCATACCGTAAAGTCGCGGATAAAAGCCGGGCTTATAAGCACATAAGCCGCTTTCTGCATGAGGCTTTAATGCAAACCAGGCTTGTATGCAAACCATGCTTATAAAGTTATATGCACCACTGGTATTGTTACCAGGCTTGTATGCACATACTATGACATAGAAGCCAGGCTTCTACGCGCGACACGCGTATATCTACCACTGACTACCGGTATGGTGGCAGTTTTACTATGCACCGTACATAGCGCATGCACTCTTGACCTACCTGAGCCGCGCTTGCATAGAAGCCAGGCTACTACGCGCGACAGGCTTATATGCATTTGACCAGCTTGATTTTTAGGCTTCTATCCGCGATGTGCTTGTATGCAAACCTGGCTTTTATCCGCGACTTTATGGTATGCGAGAAAGAAGTCATAATGGTGAGTCAGCGGAATTCCGGAACCGCTTATGGGCTCTAAGTACACAGTGAAACCGCTTATGGGCGCTACATTACGTATACCATGGCAGAACGAGTCGCTAGTGCATCGCTGTGCCACGACTTTGCCAAAGCGGCTCAGTCACGACTTTGCCAAAGCGGCTCAGTTGATGATGTACTAGTAATCACCTAAGCTTTATAGGCGGGAAGGCCTTAAGGCCGGGTGAGCTGCATGAGGGAGAGTTGAGTGCAGTACAGTGTTCTGTGGGTGAAATGAAGTCTGACTTGATGAATTACCTGGAGACGTCCGCTCCAGCACAACGCTGGAGACCTTCAAAGCTGCAGCAGTACCCTACGCAATTGCTCGTTGACTACATGCAACAGTAGCAAATGCCATGTTTGACAATGGATCCGATTTCCAGCTGACTATCATTTCCAGTGCATACACACTTTTTTCTTTCCTTCTCTCTCTCTCTCTCTCTCTCTCTCTCTCTCTCTCTCTCTCTCTCTCTCTCTCTCTCTCTCTCTCTCTCTCTCTCTCTCTCTCCTTCCCTCTTTTAAAAGATCTTCGCTGCCTTGTCATTGGGAAGAAATTCCCGTTTGGATTTTGCGAAGTTCGAAGAAAAACAAAGTTCCAAAAAAATGAATAGAAACAACCCCGGGATTGCACCGAGCCTTACTCCCTTACAGTAGAGTCGCGCACTGAAGAACGTGGAGCCTGAAATTCTACGAACGCCACAGCCTAAAGCTAAGAGCGGCGGTGTTGGTTTTCTGGCAGCTTGTGGGATACATATGATCCAGTACGGACTGTTTCTAAGAACGTGCTATAAGAATGCAGCCAGATTCCTGAAAAATAAGAACGTCCCAGGCTAACCCCTTGGAAACAACGTTCTTGGGCGCGCGACTACTGTAGCACTCACTGCACTACGAACATAAGCGCCTGCCCAGTGGATACGCCACTGCTGAGGTCTGTCCCCGGGGAAAATTGCGGAAAAAAATCGCAAAAAACGCGGGGAAAAACGCGGCATAATATGGCATAATTTGCGGTGATTTTGCGGTAAATATGCGGTGAATAATATTGATGTTCAGTGAGTATGTAGTGAAATCAATCAGTTACAAGTCTCTGGTGTAAGCACTCATCATATTTGAGTAAAAAGCCGCCACGATGAGACGTTGCTGACCGAACAGTGCACTGTGTGTACGTGTAGTGCAACAAAAAAGTTCAAAAATCGCGGGAAATCGGAAAAACGCGGGAAAAAACGCGGCCGCGGAATTGCAGTTTTCCCCGGGGACAGTGAGGTGCACGAGGTCGCAATTTCCCATGCCATTATTGTGCATGCATGTCACTTGTGTGTGTGTGTGTGTGTGTGTGTGTGTGTGTGTGTGTGTGTGTGTGTGTGTGTGTGTGTGTGTGTGTGTGTGTGTGTGTGTGTGTGTGGCGTGTTAAAGGTGTTTTCTTTACGGGGCCATGCTACAATACAAATTACAATATTACAGAGCATCCTGCATTGCAGCACAATCATCCGAATGATGAGGCTGTGGAGATACTAGGGCACTGGTGCAGCCTTTAGATTCTCAAATCAGCCCAGGTGCCTTCTCTCTCTCTCTCTCTGGCCGAAGATAGAGAGGTCACTCCAATCGCTGAATGACAACATCACTCATACGGTGACAAACGATATCCAAACTTGGATGAGCGGTAGGTCTTCTCACCCAGGCATGTACCTCAGCCCTGTTTCCAGGTTCAAGTCGTTGGTCTCGACTTTTTCAGAGCAACTTACTGGTACTTACTTGGACATCATTCCAGTCGCTGAACACCGAATCTTCTGCAATGTAGCAACACCACTGATCAGATTTTTGCTCATCCATGCAGTTGCAACAAGAATAGAAGGACAGGTAACTCCTTGGAGAGAGCCAGACCTACCAAGTACGTGTTCCTAGATCTACCTAGAAGCTAGCTGTTGGCCAGGTTGACACTTGACAACAACTGACAAGACGTGAAAGTAGTTGCATGTTGCATAGCACAAAATAAAACTGCAATGACCAACCCCACATAAGCGTTTTTGGCTTCTTTTTGTTTTTGGCCGCTCGCTTGCAAAGCTGATCACACCGTCACCATGGTCACACGAGCTGATGATGCATGATCGATGCGTCAACGTTGCAACGTCATGCATGTATATGTGTATGCATGACGTCGACGTGACGTGCTTTTTTGGTGTTTGGCGGGAACATTCCGGCCACATGACCTTTCAAACTCAGCTCCATGTGCACGAAACTCGTCGAAAGGCGAGCTGCAAGAACACAGAAGAGGCTGATTCAAAAATGTATGGTAGTCTGGCAGATGATCCAAGCAGTGCATGAAAGTAGTTAGTTCTTTGTTGTTCTATTCGTGTGGCCGAGGCTGCGCCAGTCTGCTGTTGACGGACACTGTTGGCACTCCTGGAGAAGTACTCGTCGTGTTGGCGAAATGGCCGCAGTGGACCAAGAAGATTCACCGTGTTTGGTTGTTGTTGGTGTGTTTGAAGGTGAGACTTCACCTATTTCGTGATTTTTTTACAATTTTGCTTTCGATGTATGTGACAGCACCCTGCTGAACCCTACTGCATGGTAGACTAGGGAAGGACAAGGAGTCTTGTGTACCGGACGGCTAGATTGTCGGACATCTTGTTCGTTTGGTGTGACTGGCCACGTCCACAGGGAATTTTCACAGTACAAATGAAAATGCAAAATGAGTTTTTTTGTTCTTAAACGTTCTGGTTAATTGATAGACGTAGTTTTTTGTTCGTTGATAAATTAAAAAGTGTATGCACAGTATATCCTCGATATCTCTGGACACGGGCCGTGGCGTGCATGCAGAAACAGGTGTGTTGACCTCAAATGCGATCTAAGCACGTGTTGGTGTTGTAAAATAAACACTTTTTATAGGAACGACGACTGATGTACAAACCCACCTTTAGTAGAGAATCCACTGAACAGATGTGTAAAGCTAATCTGCCCAGAGAAAGAGAAACATTTGGCGACTACTAGTAATCTGCGTTGGCTTGGCAAAAATGGTGGTTTGAGAAAAGCAACGTTTTTCGTGTGAAGTGCAGGGATTAGCATCGGCAGAATCAATCCCAGCAAGAATGTTTTGTCGCCAGTTAGCGTAAACTCTGGTTTATATTATTCAAGGGTGCATTTTCGGCAGCAAGTACTGTGCCTTGAGTAGTGTTGAAACGAGCGATCAGTTCCACTACCGAGCAAGCTATCGAGCAAGCTAACGAGTTTCATTGATGTGACAAAAATTGCAAATAATCATTTTTTGGATATTTTTTCTATCACAGTTCGATTTTTTCATCTGGTTCAAATTATCACCGCCGACATTTGGGGTTCCTGCTGCTTCACTTCGGACTGCTGTTTGGTGTCGAGATATTTTTCAGCGCCGTCTTTGAGCAGCCTTTGTAAGAATAGACTGTTTTGCAACGATTGCAAGTAGCCTTGTTCTTCGCTGCATCGCGGGAGAACTTTCAAACGACTGAGCGTAACTTTCACTCGAATGCAGAGTTGACCGAAGCGTGTCCTGCGACAGGTTAGCAGATGCGGAACAAGACATCAGTGGAGTCCACCAAAGCTGCAACGACAACTGAAACAACTCAAGTGTCGTGCAGGTATACAGTCACTGTAACTGCGAGTGATTTTCACTTTGCTCGGGACTGGACTCTCGATCGACCAGAGAGTTGTACAATATTTTACGACTCCCCGATCGAAATGTACTGAAATATGTACGGAGTATGGTGTACGGTGCTCGTTAGTGCAAACGAGCTGGCCGCACAAACGAGCCGAGTTTCTGGCGAGCGAGCTAACGAGTACCCGGTGAGATCGTTTCAACACTAGCCTTGAGTATTCTAAACTATGCACGTGCCTGTGTTGATGTGGATATGGGTGCTTGTGTGTGTGCGTGCGTGCTTGTGTGTGTGTGTGTGTGTGTGTGTGTGTGCACGTGTGTGTGTGTGTGCCCTTGTGTGTGTGTGCGCGTGCGTGTGCGCGTGTATGTGCTTGTGTGCACGCACATTTGTGTATGCATGTTTGTGTGCTTGCACGCGTGCGTGCGTGCATGTGTACAATTTATTTGTTGACAGGTCGTAACTTTCCGCGCCGTCCTCAGCACCGCCTGGTCGTCGAAGCACAGTTTCACGGCGAGCGTTTGTCCAGCGAAGGAGTATGGCACGAACCGAAGCCGCAGTTCTACACGGAGCTGGCCTGGGAGATGACACGCCGCAGCTTACATCAGCACAAGTTGAAACGCACACCGGTGAAGCTGGCTGTAAGCATAGAACTTACTTGTGCCTTTTATTTCAAGCCCGCTGTTTCTGTCAGCAGCCAACACCTGGGCATATACTGATAGTCATACGGACAGTGCAGTAAGCTCATACGAGTTATGACTAACAGTCCATCAAAGAAACAAGGTAACATACAATCAGATAGTAGTGTGACAGCAAGGCACAACACTGACAAGGATATTGAGACATCCGACGACCTGACACCTAGCTCCAACACATCTACGAAGCGCAAACCAACAACCTTCCAACTTGGAAGGCTCAGGTGCGAAAAGTTCCAATGAGGGGAGGGGATGCGCCACGAAGATGTGCACGAGCTATGTCTCTCGGCAGCAAAGAATGTTGAACGTTACAGGATGATGACGACGACTATCTATCTGTATCTGACTGTATACTGTAAGGCATGTATATATATAACGAGGAAGTAAATCTAACGTTTTAACGGATGACATTTCTTCGTTATAATAAGATCCGTTGAGGCCGTACTGCTTCATATAAGTTGTGTGTGGATATGCCGGAAGACTGCAGGATCGTTAACACATCTTCTCGGTAACCTATGAATTGTGGACAATCGTTAGATTTGCAACTCGTTATAATAGCATGTCTTACAGTATTGCATTTACCTCGTTACCTTGGTGGACTGTTACCGTAAAATTCCGTGAATAAGCCCACCCTAAATAACGCCCATGTCCGATAATAAGCCCAGTTTTAGGCGGTGTACACTTCAAGTCCGTTTTAGCGCCCGTGCCCGAAATAAGCCCAGGGCGTAAAGTGGACTTAAAATGACCAGCACGCGAGCGTGCGTTCGCGTACAAACTGTAGAACAGTTGTAGATCGAGTGCGTGCCATCCAACTGCACGCAGCACAGTGCAGAACTCCTGTGCCTTGTACTTACCATAGCAAGTGGTTTACCTATCAAATCTGTAACTTTATCGCCACATTCCTGGTTACGACCAAATTTCCAGCTGTGGTTTGATGTACTTGGTCCGTTTCATCGCAATTGTCGCTTATCTCCCACGCACCTTTTGACAGGTAAAACCCAATCCGATCTCGATATCTAACTTACATTTGTTTGGGAGGTTGTGAAGGAAAGATCAAAGGAGACCGGAAAGAAAAAAACCATCGCGACTAGAGCCAGTGGCATCGCGATTCGTACGATTGTGATGGGAAAGTGGGGAACTTTTCGCTGCAGTGAATGCACTGCAGTGAATGCACTGCAGTGAATGCACTGCAGTGAATGCACACATTCACTGCAGCGAAAAGCCAAGCGCAGCTCAAAGACCGGAACTGTAGCAGGGGGAATCGACATCCTGACCTCGAGAGCGTGACAGTCACGGCCAGGCCAGCCAGCTCAGTCGCCACTTTTGAACTGCAAGTGCGACGACCCGGCATTCTTTGCAAGCCTGCAAACTGATGGCGAAATGGTGGCAAAGAAGACATTGTCTGACCTGGCAGCGGCAGTACAAGAGTCGTGGTCAGCGTATCCAGCAGAGCGTATGACAGCTGTCTGGAGAGGGATGTGTGCCTGATTCAAAAACATTGTTGAAACACACAGTGGTGGTGACACACGGGTCACGCTGCCCACGATCCTCCAAGTGCCAAAGTGACAGCCACGATTGTTCCTTCCCATCGCTGCCATACGCCAAGCGGAGAAAGCAAGAAATACTCCACGCCATGGCGCCAGCAGCTATACACACCAGCAAATGTCAGCTCAAGTGACATCAGCTCGAGTGATACAGAGCCAGAGTCGGATAAACTGAAGCGTGAGTGCAAGAACGCACTCCGTCGCTGTTTTCTTTTGTACATTTTTGTAACCTTGCTTCCTTTCTCGATTTGCTTCATCAGATTCCATCGCTGAATTAATTTTATTCTGGCGGACAGGCATCCTGTATCATGCTTCTTCCCTATGCGTATTGGAAATTTTACAGAGCGATAGAATAGCTCTTGTTCTTAGTTGCGATAGATAAGCGACAATTGCGATGAAACGGACCAAGTACCTGTACCGCGCTCAGTGTGAATGGTGGTTCACTGAAACTAGTGGGTTGCTGATAGATTGATCTTCTGCAGATTGCGTCTGAAACAACGCCCATGCCCTAAAATAAGCCCATGCCCAAATATACGCCCGGTTTTTGACGCTCTGCAAAGTATACGCCCGGGGCTTATTAACGGAATTTTACGGTAGTCTTAACTCGTAACTTATAGGTCATTTTTTCTTTACATATTACTAATGGCTCAACATCCGAGTTTTATTAACCCTTTGACTGCTGCTGGGAGGTTCACCAGGGCTCTGAGGACCAGCAAAACGGGTCATTTTTTTGCTGAAAGCGCACCACACGTGAAAGATCGTAATGCTGTATAAACCTTGTTGCCTTTGTCAATATGACAATTCCCGGTCTCCCGTTGTGGGTTGTAACGGGTCTCATGCTGTGCTGTAGTTGGGTTGATCGACCATGGCTGCACGGCCGCACATGAAGTGGTTTGATTGGCTTCTTGCGCTAAACACGACACCAGCTGCCTGACATTGTTTGTCGTAATTTGGTGATGTCTACAGCGCTAGTAGTGTTCATGCACTGGTCAGTATCTCGATACGTAGCGGTCACAGCGGTCTGCTGCAACTGCCAGTTTTACACTGAACTTGCATCTGGCGTGCTGATGATCGTTCAGCGTGACACTCAGAGTTACAACCCACCATTCTGACTTCTGTGTTAGAGATGTCTAGATGTCCCCACCGAGGTACGGAGCATGGTTTTGAGTAGGGCTGAATCGGGTAGCATTTTCTTCGGGTATCGGTTTCGGGTAGTTTTTCACGGGTAGCACGGGTACCCTATCGGGTAATGTTTCCATGGTAACACCACAATGCACCCCTCCCCTTACACAATGGGTAGACATGCTGAGTATTACATGAATTTGTACATGTGCACCGTACATGATGTCATCTGCAGCTTCGGGTTTCCGGGTACTATTCTGTACCCGTCTACAGCGCGGGTACCCGACTACCCGCGCACACCACTAGTTTTGAGCAGTAGAAGTCGCCTACTGAGTACTAATACCGGTATCTAATCTCAACCTTTTGAGCCCGGGCCCATTGAAAACCTCTGCCATGCAGTACAAAAATGACAAAATTTTAAATTCACTCTATGTGAGCAAACTTGATTTCAAATGATTCTTTCATGTATCCTGAGCACAGAGCTGTTTTTGTTTTGGAAATACAACAAAAATTACAAAAAGTTATGACCGTTTTCAGAAAGGTAGTTTTACGCGAATTTGGCGTTTATAATAATAATATTTTCAGTATGCACATGATAACAGTGAACTGCTGTGCTCCTTTGCTCCAGCACCATCAAATTTGGCCATAGTCATACTCGGTGTGGTAGATTCCAAGGCAAGGCACTGAACACAGGCCTGGCTGCCCCGGACACGACATGCAGCACTTGCGGCTCTCCCTGCGCCTGCCTCTCGCCCAGCAAACGACGCACCGCTTCAGCGGCTTTTCCTTCTTGGGTGTTGGTGGGACAAATGCTGGATGGTGACGTCCAGTCAACCTGCTTGGGCTTTGGTGGTGAGCCCATGTGCGAGTCGGTGCTGCTGCAACGACATCAGGATGGCGTCCTGGGGCAGCTGGGCATACTTGGGCTGGCTCCGCAATCTCTGCCGCTGCTGGAAGCGGTTCAACTACTGCTGCTGCTGCTGTTGCTGCTGCTGGATGAGGTTCCGTTGGCTCAGCTGGAGCTGGTCCGGATGCTGTTGCTGTTGGTACTGCTGCTGGTGCTTCTGCTGCTGTAAGTGCTGCTGCTGCTGTTGGTGCTGCTGCATCTAGATGTCGTCCCTTGACACCTTCGGCCAACAGCTCACTCATCGCAATTCGGATAAAATCGTAGTGTTTTCGCTTGCCGCCAGCTTTCTGGTACAAGATGAACGCGTTCAGTAGCCCTTCCTCCAGGATATGTGTGCCGAGCTTTTTGCACCACTTCGTGGATTTGCGTGCAGCAGTGTAATTCGAGAGCTTGGCGTCGTTCCGGTCTACACCACCCATGTACCGGTTGTAGTCATGGACTACCTGTAGCTTCTTGACAGCCTTTCCTTCTCGATCACGCTTGCCAGCTGGCACAGCATTGGCACGGTGCAAAGTGGAGAGGAACATGACTTGCTTTGTGTCCTGAAGCTTTACGACACGTGCTCCTTGCGAGCTACGGTAGGTGTACTCTGATTTCTTCAGCTGCTTATAGCCAGTCAGTCGCTTCGGCAAACCAACCCGGTTTTTGCGGATGGTGCCGCATACACCGGTCTGGTGCCGACTGAGGTACTTGGCGAGTGACAGGCTGGAATACCAATTGTCCACATACAGGTGGTGTCCCTGATTCTCAAGTGGAATCATCAGCTTCGTGACGACAGCGCCCGATGCTCCCAGCTGCTTCACCATGTCCGGGCTGAGATTGACATTATCTTTGCCGACGTACACAATGAAGTTGTACATATATCCAGAATCCTCGCACAGGGCAAAAATCTTGATGCCAAACCGAGCACGCTTAGATGGAATGTATTGGCGAAAGCTCAGTCGGCCCTTCCACGCCACCAATTCCTCGTCGATGCAGATGGTTTTGCATGGCGTGTACACTGCCTGAAAACGATCGATAAACAGATCTAACAGACGGCGAATTTTCCGTAGCTTGTCAGCATTGTCCGGTGCAGCGTTGTCGTAGAAATGCAGAAACATGAGGATACTCATGAATCTGTCCCGCTTCATGGCAGCCGAGAATGATGGCGTGGAAATCAGTGCATCCGTACTCCAGTACTGGTCCAGTGCTGGCTTCCAGAGAATGCCTGTCGTCAGATAGAGTGCCAGGAAGATCTTCATTTCGGACATGGTCACCGGCTTCCAGCTCCGAGCAAGGGCGCGCGGTGCCAGGGTTTCTAGATTAGCGTCTATGTACCGTCGGGCGCAGCGATTGGTCTCGTCAACAAGTAGACTGCACGTAGTATCGGTGAAGTACAAGAGCACATACTCGTATGGAGTCGCATCGTCGGGCATTTCCACTTGCATGCCAGGTGTGCCAGTGAACTGAGGTAGCAGAGGTGTGTTATCTTCCTTTTTCCCAACACCTACATGTGTGGCACATATGTAAAGAGAATAAGAAGATACCTAAGTATACCATAGTATAGTCTGTAGCCAGTACACGCAATGCACATCAAGATTCAAGAGTCGTGATAATTTCAAATTTTCATATTTTCACATTGCAAATATTTATTCTCCAAGTCGTCAAATTTATTCTTACCTTCAGAACCATCGTCATGGGCGCTCAGATTCTCGGTGGCAAGGACGTGGCTCTTGCCTGAAAGGTCCCCGTCGCTCTCAATCTCCCCGCTCGCGGCACTGGCATCGCCGTCACCTATGTCGTGTTGATCGCGCTCGTCGCCGTGCGTCATACCAATATCGTCAGGCGAACCAGGTATCGATACGAGATCCGGGAGCGACTCCTTGTCACTCCCGATGCCAGAATCAAAGCTATCATCCACTGACCACGGCTCGACATCGCTGTCAGGGTCCATGAAAACCTCCTGGAGGGCCTCTTCCGCGGCAAACCTCCCGGCGAGCCATCTCTACAGATCGGCCAAATTTCAATTTTTTTGAAATGTATGCACGCGCATTAAACTCCAGTTCAAACTTACGGAGCGACTCGCAGTTTTTTCTATACTGTACTCGTACATCCTAGGAGTCCTCTGTGCAGCAGTACAGCTCAGATCGACGCCACGGAAGAACAGCAAAATCGATGTAGTACCGTACAGACTCGTGACGTTCTAGAACGTCACGTGTGTCACAGTGGCAGTGGTCATGACGTGTCAGAACGTCACGCGTGCTCAAAGGGTTTTAATTCCCGTAGCTATGCAGAAGACGTTACTTCAGTAACGTCTGGCGCTAGCCAGGGTCCACACAGCTTTAATTTGGTGTTTGTGTGTTTGTGTCACGCCTGGCGCTATCCCGTATCTGTCCCGTACCGTACCGTACCATCAAACACAGCTGGCCACATACAGCTGGCCGCACTATTCAAATAGGGCTTTCAAATGCAAGATCATAACGTGAAGCAACTTGGAAGAATGAGTATGAATGCGAAGTGTATGGGGGAATGCATGTAGGGCGATAGTGCGGGTTCGAATCCCAGGTAATGCCTGAAAAAAATAGGAAAATTGAAAATTTTATAACATCCCTATTCTTTTTTTGCCGTCATCAAGGCGGTAGATGGTGTCGTATTACCCTCGACCGTACCTGTCCCGTACCTGTCCCGTACCGTACCGTACAATCAAAGACGGCTGGCCACAATGCATATTCAAATAGGGCTTTCAAATACAAGATCATAACGTGAAGCAACTTGGAAGAATTAGTATGTATGCGAAGTGTATCGAGGATGCATGCAGGGCTATAGTGCGGGTTCGAATCCCAGGTTATGTCTAAAAACAAAAAGTAGAAATTTATAACATCCCTATGCTTTTTTTTTGTCTAGGTCATCAAGGCAAAAAAGCATAGCGTAGGGCCCTGAGCTTCCAAGCTCTCTCGTATCTGGGAGTGAGAGCAAGACTAGACACACAGTCTGTAGTATTCACATGTGTTAACGGATGTTCTTGTTTGCGTTCTGGTGTGCGTTCTGTTCCCAGTGTTTTGCCGTTGACACGCTGAGCAATCGCCGCGAAGCCATCGGTTACTTTATGCTGGACCTACGTACAGTGCAAACTAGTGTGTCGACGGTAAGCTGCATTCATCACTTATCATGGTGTCTGCCTTTTTTTTGTTCAGCTTCTGTAGAATCATTGTCACCCTAGTGTCAGGCCTCGAGTTCCTAATTAGCTGTGGGTCGCTGCATGGTTGGAAAAATCCTTCTGCTTCCCAGCAGCAACGATGATGCATCCAATAAGATTTTTGGTCGTTGACCACTTTAAACTGGTTACAATCACCTTCTGGCGGTGTAGGAGCTGCGCCTTGATCTTTGAGGGTGTTGGCGTTCTTGCGGATGCGGAAAAACTCAATCTGACCGAGGCCCAAGTGAACTGTAAAATGCATTTACTTTATCACTGTAGAGTTATGTGTAATGTGCATTCAATAGACTCGTGTTGGAGCATTTGTGCTAACCTGGGGTTTTGTTAGTCACGCAACTTGACCCTGCGGTGTGTCTAAGATCATGAATTTTGAAAAGTCTCTCTATCTCTCACTCACTCTCTCACTCTCTCTCTCTCCCTTTTGCTCTCTCTCTCTCTCTCTCTCTCTCTCTCTCTCTCTCTCTCTCTCTCTCTCTCTCTCTCTCTCTCTCTCTCTCTCTCTCTCTCTCTCTCTCTCTCCCTCTCCCTCTCACTCTCTCACTTTCTCTTTCGACACCTGACTCTCTGTTTCTCGTTACGCTTGCATTAACCTCTTGCTCTCTCTCTCCTCGGTGTGTTTCAGGAGGCGCGTTGGCACACGCTACAGAGCTGCAAGTACGCGCAGAGCAAGGCACAGCTGCGTGTCGTGATGGACTTGGAGGTGGACGGGCAACGGGCACACCACGCTACCGTACACGAGCATGCAGCCGCAGCACACAACAGACCAGGTGCTGCAGGCGCTGGGAAGAAGACACGTGGAAGTGGCCAGCAGCGTAGCGCTACTGCTGCTGGTGTTGCTGGAAAGAAAACCAATCGTCGCTTATTAGGCGGTGAAACATCAACCGCCGCTGGTCATAGTAGGCATGCGGCTGACGGTGCAACAACGGCTGCGTTTGATCCTAGTGCTGGTATGTTCAATGTCTGGGAGAGTGTGGTGATGTTATTTTGAGTATTCAAAGTGCAGCTTAAACTGGGGAAAATCCGGTACATGAACTCCGCCTGTGGCGTACAGTGAATGTTGTGTCGCCATGGTGTTGTTGTGCATTTGCAGGTCTTCCTCTAGCGCGATCACCAGCCACCCTAACTTCCGTGCTGGACGAGGAGGAAGGCTGTTTTGTGATACCGCCGTTGTTCGAACATGAGAACGTTGAGTTGTTCTTGCTCTCTCTCACCATCACATCGGGCAGTAATCTTGCCCAGGTGAGTTTGTAGCACTGGTGTGCGTGCGTGTGTGTGTGTGTGTGTGTGTGTGTGTGTGTGTCTGTCTGTCTGTCTGTCTGTCTGTGTGTCTGTCTGTATACGCGCTCGCGTATGCATGTGTGTGCGTGCTATCCTAGGTTAGCAATCAAAACGAAAACATTTCGTTTGGGAGTGGGTGGGTTTGGGGAGTTTCTTTTTGAGAATAATTAATCGAATGCGCATGGAAAATGTCCAGGTACTAAAGATACCTAACGGAATTTTTTATTTCCACTGCTATCAGGTTCGGCCTCATTTCCTCTGTGCTGCGCTGATGAGGTCACAAAGAACGAAACAGCATGCTGTCCGCAGATTGAGTAACACTAACAGATAGCAATAAAAAGAACAAATTCTGCAGTCATCGCCACACTACAACGAAGTCATGTAAGTTTACCAGAATTAATTTTCTTGTCACATTCATCAGTGGAAAGTCGTGACTGAAGAGTAACCATGCTGAACAATGATTAAATATACATTCAATGATGTGTTACGAGAACAAAATACAGTGCCAAAATAGAAAGAGGGAAGGTGAGACAATAGCAGTGAAGTGAGAGCTAAGTGCAACGGTGGGTGAAAAACTAATAATTATAACGCTAAAACTGTGTAGTGAGACAAACAATCATGCTGTGCACCTACGAAAACAATTTTAACGCAACTACATGTTTCTTCTGCTTACAAAGATCAGGCTTATGCAAACGAATACAAACAGCCTCAAGTACTTTCAACTGACTAGCATACCGTGCACGACAAAGAACAGAAAAACTAAAATCATCATACACCTGCAGACACTTAGGGTGAGACAACAAGTGAAGAAAAACGGCAGACTTCTTACGATCACAATCACCATCTGATTCCTCGTCTCCAACAACCGCAATCTCGTCCTCCGTTTCATCTCCCAACTCGTCCTCAGTGTCGTCCTCCGTGTCATTCTCCTCATCAACACTGATCGGTCCCAGGCTCGTTTGACGTTGTTTAACCTCTGTTCGTTGACTCCTCCTTTGATCTTGATGGCAACTTGTTACCATTGTTGTTGTTGTTGTTGTTGCTGCTGCTGTTGTTAAATCTTGTGTTCCCAGTGTCCTCGCCGGTGCTTGATCTCCAGTACTGTAATAATTCATTGAATAATTAGCCGTTGATCGTCTAGGTCTTTGAATGTTGATTGTGTTACTTTCTTTGTTGAATTCCGTTCCCTTCAGCCTTCTTTCTCGTTGTTCACAATCAGTGCTTGCCTCATCCATATATGCACGTGCCACCGACACCACAGACTCAGCCCCAGCACCGCCGATGATAGATGTAGGTGGCGGTTCTGGGGGAGGCAACGGCAAAGACGGCGATGAGGGCATTACCTCATCACAGCGTCCACTTTGGTCTTGAGCTGAATGTTGTTGTGGTGTGTTATCTTGTGTTGTTATGGTGCATTGTGTTGTGGTGACAATATGCCCATTACCCGACTCCAAGGCTCTCGATACGGGTAATGGAGGCACTATTGCCGATGACGGAAATTGTGCTAACGATGGCTGTGGCCGAGGGTTCTTCAGTGGCCTGCCGCGTTTTGGTCGCAGTGCCCGTGCCGAGCCAGTCAGCATATGCAGTGGGACGTGCTGCTTGATACGTGCGTTCAGATGTTGAAGAGTCCTACCAACGTACCGACTACCGCATTGTCGGCACTCAAATTGGTATACCAATTTAGATGCAAGTTGGGTTGGTAGGACATCCTTCCTCACCGTGAACGCACGTACAGTTGTGAAAACGGGTACAAAATGTACCGCGTAGTAAGTTTGCTGTACAATTTTCCGTACCAAGCGACTCATGGATAATGAGAGGTTACCTTTCCAGGGGAGAGAAAGATACGTGGGACATTTGTCCGGGCCAAAACGTTTTTCCTTTTTATCCAGCCTTTCGCTCATGAGTTCCTTCAATAGATCATCAGGGTACCCGTTCTTTAGAAAAACGGACTTAAGGAAGTCCAGTTCCTCAGCTAGTTTGGAAGAGGAGCAAATACGCTCTGCTCGATCCACCAAGTTACGCACTAAATTCACCTTGTATTGGTACGAACAATACGAGTCAAACATTATGTACTGGCCGGTGAATGTAGGCTTTCTGTACACAGATGTTACGGTACCCTGACTAGACTTTTCCACAAGGACGTCTAGAAAGGGAAGTTTGTTGGCTTGTTCGTGTTCACACGTAAAACGTATGGAAGGATGTAGGTCATTTAGAATACCAAGAAAGATTTGGCTATCTTCAAGAGAATCAAACCAGGTGAAGGAATCATCAACAAAACGAACGTACAATGCTGGCCACAACTGTTCTGCAATCAGTGACTCGCAGTAACCAACAAACACATTCGCTAAAACTGGACCCAATGGAGAGCCCATGGCTACCCCATCAACCTGCCTGTACATAATGTCACCGAAGGAAAACTCCACACCAGTCGTCACGAGCAACATCAGTTCCCGGAACGCCGTCTCCGATATCCATGGCGTGTCAACTTCATCATTTCGGTACAACACATCTAGGCAAATATTGATAGTCTCTTCTAACGGGACGTTCGTGAACAGACTAACAACATCAAACGAGCACATATGCGCGGAGGCCGGAACCGGGTGGGAGCGAAGGACGTCAATGAATTCGAAGGTGTCTTTAACTGTATGTTTGCAATAGAACGTTTGCACGATGTCAAGCCAACCACACAGCCATTTAGAGATATTATATTGTGGTGATGCAACCATGGATAATATGGGGCGCAACGGACAGTTCGGTTTATGTATTTTTGGTAGCCCATAGAGACGTGGCCGGACGGAACCAATGGGCCGCATTTTGAAGAACTCTTCCTCCGATATCTGTTTATTTTCCTTAAGTCTCTTGAGAAAACTATTCAACTTTTTCTCTACTCGAACTGTGTTGTCATGAATCTATCATCGGCGGTGCTGGGGCTGAGTCTGTGGTGTCGGTGGCACGTGCATATATGGATGAGGCAAGCACTGATTGTGAACAACGAGAAAGAAGGCTGAAGGGAACGGAATTCAACAAAGAAAGTAACACAATCAACATTCAAAGACCTAGACGATCAACGGCTAATTATTCAATGAATTATTACAGTACTGGAGATCAAGCACCGGCGAGGACACTGGGAACACAAGATTTAACAACAGCAGCAGCAACAACAACAACAACAACAATGGTAACAAGTTGCCATCAAGATCAAAGGAGGAGTCAACGAACAGAGGTTAAACAACGTCAAACGAGCCTGGGACCGATCAGTGTTGATGAGGAGAATGACACGGAGGACGACACTGAGGACGAGTTGGGAGATGAAACGGAGGACGAGATTGCGGTTGTTGGAGACGAGGAATCAGATGGTGATTGTGATCGTAAGAAGTCTGCCGTTTTTCTTCACTTGTTGTCTCACCCTAAGTGTCTGCAGGTGTATGATGATTTTAGTTTTTCTGTTCTTTGTCGTGCACGGTATGCTAGTCAGTTGAAAGTACTTGAGGCTGTTTGTATTCGTTTGCATAAGCCTGATCTTTGTAAGCAGAAGAAACATGTAGTTGCGTTAAAATTGTTTTCGTAGGTGCACAGCATGATTGTTTGTCTCACTACACAGTTTTAGCGTTATAATTATTAGTTTTTCACCCACCGTTGCACTTAGCTCTCACTTCACTGCTATTGTCTCACCTTCCCTCTTTCTATTTTGGCACTGTATTTTGTTCTCGTAACACATCATTGAATGTATATTTAATCATTGTTCAGCATGGTTACTCTTCAGTCACGACTTTCCACTGATGAATGTGACAAGAAAATTAATTCTGGTAAACTTACATGACTTCGTTGTAGTGTGGCGATGACTGCAGAATTTGTTCTTTTTATTGCTATTATAAAATTGTTGTCTCCACGTCGATTACTAACAGATAGATCATTTCTATAGAGCTGATCATTTCTATAGAGCTGGAGCTGGGTGCAAACCTGTATGTGCAGGTATGCATGCATGGATGTGCGCACGCACGCACGCACACACTCAAGCTGACCATGTTAAGGCCCTGCATACCCTGTGTCATCCGGGCATCGCACGGTTTGGGACGATCATACACGCATCATACGAAAGCTGTCGAAGAGTGCATCTATGTGTACGCGGAGATTCCGTAGTTGTGGTTGGCATCATCACTTTCAAGCGCTACGATTTGTTATTACTTGATAGCAGCTCACATGTACAGATTCAGTTGAGCAGGTTATCTTATGTTATATTTCTCTCCACAGTGGTTGTATCTTTGCTCAGGTTTCTCTCGAGCCGTTGCCAGTATGATAATTATGTCGTCCCTGGAACGTACATTGTTCACTTCACACTTTCTTTCTCTTCTCCCAAACGAATTGTCGTGCTATGCCAAACGGCATGAATCACAAGCCATGCCGTAGAAACCACGGCTGTTTTTTTGTGCGATTTCACGCCACTTAACAATATGGCCGCCGAAAGTCTCGATTGGGCTTCAATGGCAAGAAAATTTGAATTTTCAAATCGTCAGAACACGAGTAGGCCATGGTTTCCCCTGGATTTTGGAGACTAGTCAGCCCGGACAGCCCGGGGAACACGCCGATCATCTGCGTCTTGTTTCAAGCTTTCCGCTCGTACCTCACATGACTGCCTTTCCTTCAAGAAACATTTGTTCTGTGTTGTGCGACTTTGGCTTCGTTCTGGAATACTCCTTGTGTCGTCGCTGACAAACTCGGCTCCGAGAAGCCCTTCCCGATTTTTTCCCAGCTTAGATCGATTTTTTCCCAGGTAGAGGACTATCCTCTGGTTGTCTTCCCCAAGTGTCATTAGAATACGCGCGTGAACTTCTAAATACGTGCGACGAGTCAGGAGCCTGTTTTCTCTTGATTTGGAAGACAAAATGGTGTGGCCCTTTAGTTGCTGTTGAGTGTAGAATGCTGCTTCCTGCTGTAAATTGCTTAGTCGGCATGTGGGATATTGTAGAAGAAGACAGCAGCCGGCCAAGTGAGCTTGAAATTGTGGTATCTACCCTATTGTGCGTTGAACGATTACGAAATGTCTAACTTGAATGTTGTACACGCGAGCACGCCAAGCAGAGGCTGACAATCACTGGCGAGATCAATCTCCAGACTGCCAGGAGTACTTCGAGCAAGTTTGAAGCGGAAAGACAGCTAACTGGGCAGGCCAGGACGCCTTTCCACCCTCTTTCTCTCTCAAATTGCCGAAAAGTCGAGTATCTCGCTCGAGCGCTTTCAAAACTTTTCTCTTGGTTTCGCGTCCCAAATCGTGGAACCACGCGAGGATCGACATGAGTTTCTTGCAAAAACGCAAACTCATCGCGTATTTGTACTATTCGCACAATGTTACATAAATCGCACCGAACGACGCCATATTGATAAGTGCCTGCACGTGAACAGCCGTGAAACGTACACGACTGTTCACTAGCGATTTTAGCTTGCCGCCCCCCCCCCCCCCCCCCCGACAGTGAACTGTGTTCTTTTCAGGGACAAAAGAAGATGCTGATGAATCGGTATCTGTGCCTTTGTCTTGTGCCGTGTTCTTTCTGCAGCTTGTGCCACATGCTCAGTCTGGCGTACCATCCTATCACTTCTACTTTTCACTGCTAGGCAATGACATAACGATGGAAACGTTTTCTAGCCTCGTCCGGTTTGATTTCAAGGCAGAGAAGGCGACGGTCAGGCTAAAAAGTTCTTTTGAGACTCTCGCAGTGTATCTATCGGCACAGAAACCTGTCATGGTTAGTTAATCTCTGTCACTCCTTTCTCTCTCTCTCTATCTCTCTCTCTCTCACTCTCTCTCTCTCTCTCTCTCTCTCTCTCTCTCTCTCACTCTCACTCTCTCTCTCTCTCACTCTCTCTCTCACTCTCTCTCTCTCTCTCTCACTCTCTCACTCTCTCTCACTCTCTCTCTCTCTCTCTCTCTCTCTCTCTCTCTCACTCTCTCTCTCTCACTCTCTCTCTCTCACTCTCTCTCTCTCTCTCTCTCTCTCTCTCTCTCTCTCTCTCTCTCTCTCTCTCTCTCTCTCTCTCTCTCTCTCTCTCTCTCTCTCAATGACGCATATGCATGCTGTTGTAGCGTGGGTGATGAACGTTGTCTGTGGAGCGAGCCTGCATGACTTTCTGCATGATTGGATGTTGCATTTGGCGTAGAATTCAATACTCCTCTGGTACTCATCCTATAATTACAAAGTGGTCATGAAGAATTCCACGAAGTGATCACAGCACACTGCTCAACTTAAATACTATACCTCGCTCGTCGCCAACATCGTGATTTGTTTTACGTTGTTCGCTGCTGCCGCCGCCGACGCCGCTGTTGCTACAGTAAAACCTGTAACTAAGGACCACCCCTGGTTGGGGCCAGAGAAAGCGGTCTTTAGTGGCAGGTGGTCCTTAGTTAGAGGTTTGCACCGTACGGCCGTATATGAATGTGAGGTCGTCCGTGCCTGGCGAAGTGGTCTGTAGTACCAGGCTGGTCGCTAGTCACGGTGGTCTGTAGTAGCAGGCTGGTCGCTAGTCACGGTGGTCTGTAGTAGCAGGCTGGTCGCTAGTCACGGTGGTCTGTAGTAGCAGGCTGGTCGCTAGTCACGGTGGTCTGTAGTAGCAGGCTGGTCGCTAGTCACGGTGGTCTGTAGTACCAGGCTGGTCGCTAGTCACGGTGGTCTGTAGTAGCAGGCTGGTCGCTAGTCACGGTGGTCTGTAGTAGCAAGCTGGTTGTAGTCACGGTGGTCTGTAGTACCAGGCTGGTCGCTAGTCACGGTGGTCTTTAGTAGCAGGTTGGTCGCTAGTCACGGTGGTCTTTAGTAGCAGGTTGGTCGCTAGTCACGGCGGTCTTTAGTAGCAGGCTGGTCGCTAGTCACGGCGATCTGTAGTACCAGGCTGGTCGCTAGTCACGGTGGTCTGTAGTAGCAGGCTGGTCGCTAGTCACGGTGGTCTGTAGTAGCAGGCTGGTCGCTAGTCACGGTGGTCTGTAGTACCAGGCTGGTCGCTAGTCACGGTGGTCTTTAGTAGCAGGTTGGTCGCTAGTCACGGCGGTCTTTAGTAGCAGGCTGGTCGCTAGTCACGGTGGTCTGTAGTACCAGGCTGGTCGCTAGTCACGGTGGTCTGTAGTACCAGGCTGGTCGCTAGTCACGGTGGTCTGTAGTACCAGGCTGGTCGCTAGTCACGGTGGTCTTTAGTAGCAGGTTGGTCGCTAGTCACGGTGGTCTTTAGTAGCAGGTTGGTCGCTAGTCACGGTGGTCTGTAGTACCGGGCTGGTCGCTAGTCACGGTGGTCTGTACAGTCCATTTCAAAACTATAGACGCGTACCTAGGCAAAAACCGTTATGCCAGCATCTATACCACATAAAATCTGTGATCACTTTGTGCATAAATTTTTCCAACTTGGGCGTCTGTTATCCAATCCTTTAGAAACTATATGAGAGTAATTGTGGAGCGATCCTGAGCAATATTCCGAAAACTATTCTCAAAAAGTTCCAGCCAAATTTGAAATATTTCAAAAACCCTACGCGTCTATAGTTTTGAAATGGACTGTAGTTACAGGTTTTTACTGTACTTCTACTGACGTTGCTTTTACTGCTTCCTTGTGCTTGTGCTGTTCCCATGTTTGTTCTAATGGCGTATGCACATGTAGATCCACCTGTGCTGTGGCAAGCAGTCTCTGGGCTGTGCTGTGATAGAGCTTGCACCACTGCTCAACTACGACTCTGCCGCGCTTAATGCGCGCGGCATGGCACTCAGCCAGTCTTGCATACTGCATAGCTTGGATCAGACCGTCACGTCCTTGACTGACGAAGAGAAGCCGGCCATCGATGTCACTCTGTCGCTATCACCAGAGAATGATCCCCTACCCAGTACACAGCAGGTATGCTAGTTAGCATAGAACCCTTTCGTGCCACGAAATCATTGTAGCGTCGGGGATCACGAGTCTTACCGGACGATGTTTGTACTACGAGTCTGTGGCCGCATACACTCGGCGGGGTTTCACTAAACTTGTACTACGAGTACGGTAAAAAGCAGTTGCACCAGCATGTCAGCACAGCATGTCTTCCGGTCAGTATGAATCCGTTTTGTGTACACGTCTTGCGCGTGTGCATGTGTGTGTGTATGCGCGTGTATGTGCGTGTGTGTGCGTGTGTGTGTGTGTGTGTGTGTGTGTGTGTGTGTGTGTGCATGCGCATCTGTGTGCACATATTTTTTACTATCATTGGTTTTTTTGCTAGGCAATCAGTCGTCCACGTCTCTCCTCCGACAGCTATACACCGGGCAGCACAGCATCACTGATAGCATCAGCACCAGCATCATCGTCAGCAGCAGGAGCAGCAGTAGCATCTCAACCCAGAGAACAAGAACAGGCTGAACAGCAACAGCAATGGCAGCGTCAGTTATCAGGTCAGCTGCACTCACTGTTTCATGTCATAGTCGTGTAGTACTCCCTCCTGCAACAAAGCCTTTTGTGATTTTCGATCGACCTGTCAGTTCTAGTGAATTGAGCTCTGAGGAAGCGGGCGATTGTCACACCAAATGAGACTCAAACCAAATTTCTTGTTCACAGTAACTCCTTAGGAAGTGAATACTGTGCTGATGAGTTTCGTAGTAAAAAACCTTTAAAAAAAACTCTACTTCAAGCTGCTGCAGCTGTTATTGCCTGTGTGGTATAGCCGGTACATTGCTGTGCCGTTGTCATGTTGTTATCTGCCATTGCAGAGCATGGTGGTGGTGATAACGAAGCAACGCTCCCACCGCCGGCCGCAAGCGACGGAATGGCACAGCTGGCAAGGAGTCCACCGCGGTCAGCAGCTGGCACGCTGACGGCAGAGGAAGCAGCGCCAGTAGCTATTAGCAGTGGCGGTGGAGGCGCTGCCGTTGCTACGACCACATCCATACCTAATCCAGGTTGGTGCATGGGATTGATATGCGTATGCTACATTCACGTACGATTTACACACACATGAAAGAGAGGAATCAAAGTGTTTCTGCTGTAACTCTTGAGTTTCACGGTTTTGCCGATCATCAGACAGCAACGTAAGATGTATGCTAATGTTGAGAAGGGGACATGTTAGGCCGTCAGTCCTGAGAAGCACTTTGGGTGCGTGTTATGTCGTGGACGAATCACTCCATGATTCCACAACGCACTCCAAGTACACTACACGGAAAAGACCTCGTTCTCTTCAAGCATGCGCAGTATGAATACAACTAGTGGGGGAGTCATAATAAGATAACTATGGGTGATGGTCATGCACCGCATGCATAGACATAACAGTGCATTTGGGTGATATACGTACGTATGTTACATTCACGCAAGACTCGTTTTATGTCACCAGAGCGAGCGAAAAGGGGAAATGTAAGTTCGCCCTGAGAAACACTTTGGTGCCTTTAGGGTTGGTGAGATCTAGAGCAGTATTGAACTGCCGGTGCAAACGGAACTGGCTTGCATCAATCAAACAATATCCCCGAGTTCTTGATCGGAAAGGGTGCCACATCCTGCAAAGTTTGTATGAGATACCCAGCACATCACCGTGTGGAATATGGAGAAAACGGGTGCAACTGCAACACACTAGCGTAGGCATATGATGACTTCTGAGGAAACCGATGTTCCTGCCAGTTTTCACAGCAAGAAAGTACAAGTGTGCTCCTCGGTGGAGCAACCGACTTCATCCCCTACTACCGCCGAAGTTGCAATTTCTAAGTTAGAAAGTAAAACTCCTCTGGCTATTCTGCCCATGAGGACGGAGCAGGCAGAACATGTTCTGTCCCATCCAGAACAGTTGCAGCCGCAACCAGATACACTGCTCCAGCACATCTTGGTCTAGGTAGCACCAACCAAACACGTCGTTTGAATAAAGCGAGTACTACATGCTGTGAATAAATAATGTATGTGTGTGGCATATGTGTGTGTGTGTGTGTGTGTGTGTGTGTGTGTGTGTGTGTGTGTGTGTGTGTGTGTGTGTGTGTGTGTGTGTGTGTGTATGTGGCATGTGTGTATGCATGCATGCATGCTTTCCCTGTAGCTTCCGGTGGTGATGACGGCCATGATTCCACGATGATGTCCGGAAGGAGCGACCTCTCCTCAGTGTCTCAATCTTCTTTCTCATCTCAGACTTCATCGCAGCCTGATGTGAATGGCCCTGCTCCTGCTGCTGCTACTTCTGGTGCAGCAATGAGCCATACTGTGCAGTCTACATCTGCAAGGACCACTGGAGCCATCCACAGTCAGCCGGCAGCACACCACTCTGGTGTTCTTGCACCATCACAGCAAGCAGCACATGACGCAGTTTCCGATGCACTCCATCCTGTAGCCGCACGGTCAACATCCCCGACATCGCCACCTCCTGCTCCGGTGCGTGCTGCCGCATTCTCCAGCTCTGTGGCCCCGACCACTTCACCGCTGTCGGCGTTTCGCGTTCAGCCCACCACTCAAGGAACGGCGAGCTCTGCTGCGGGAACAACAGCCCAGCCCGCTGCACAGCAGCCTGTAGCCGTGGCAACCCACAGAGCAGGTCATACAGCCGCGGTAGCACAAGCATCAGCTCAGTCTCACTTGTCAACATCTGATCAGCACAGGCATCCTCAGCAGCACCGTCCCTATCAACAGCAACAGCAGCAGCAGCAACAGTACACACATGATCACCATCATCTGAGCTACCAGCACAGCTCGGCAGGTATTCCTGCACCTAATGCTGCTCTTGGCACAGTGCATTCCACAATGACATCAGCGAGTGATGCCGATGACATCATGCAATGGCTGGCTGACCAGCGGCCGCATCACTTCACCGTGGCTATAGACCTACGCAGTGTGAAGGATGTGTCTTTACCGCACATCACAAGTCCAGCATTACAACTTAGGTATGGTAGCATTGCGATTCCAAGAGCGTTAAAGTTTTATTGTGAAAGTGTCTATGCTGGAATTGCCCAGTTTAGTAGTGTTTCATCAAACTCCAAGCGAACACAGAACAGTGTATAGACATGCGAGCCCAAGCCCACCCACGACATATTCTTACAAATTTCAACCTTTCTCTCTCTCTCTCGCTCACTCACTCACTCACTCACTCACTCACTCTCTCTCTCTCTCTCTCTCTCTCTCTCTCTCTCTCTCTCTCTCTCTCTCTCTCTCTCTCTCTCTCTCTCTCTCTCTCTTGCTCTTGCTCTTGCTCTATCTATCTATCTCTCTCTCCCTCCTTGTCTCATCCCCGCACAGATACTGCAACCCGTTCTTCAGCAGTACATCACCCATCACCACTGATCCTCCGCTGGTCATCGCCAGCTCACCAGCGGGGGTGCCCAGTGGCAGTGAATACTTTCCACGCAAGTCCTTCTGCACGTTTGACTTTGCCGCTCTACCGTCACAGTTCAACACACAGTGCAGCAGGTAAGGTGTTCCTCTAGGTCAGGGAGTCATACATGCAGTGTCTAGGTCAGGGAGCCGTACTGTAAAAGTAGAACTTTTCGGTGTTGTCGTATTTTCGGTATTCTCCAAAATCGGCGGTTCGGTGAAGGGAAATTTTCGATAAACCCGTTTTCCAGGTGTTCGGTCACGGAATATGGACTCCAAAGAAGACTATTTATTTCTGATCTTCGTAACTGAACGAAAGACTCTAGTGGTATGCACACCTCATCCTACCTTGGCACGGACATACGAAATCTGCTGTCGTCCTCTCAAGGCCAAAACTCTATCGACGATGTGAAATGGTACTATAATAAAGGCACAGCTCATAAAGCGAACAGACCTACAGCCAATCTGCAACCAGTTCCGTATAAGGATACCATCTACCCTATGGCGAGTTCTGGGAACTAAGGAAACACTGCATCATCATGTCAGCGTATTTAGCATCTAATGTATGCAAGAACCGTCCGCAAGGAGCTTCTACATTGTAGAAGCCAAGCCTTATAATATGATCAGCTGCATGAGCACAACAAACAAGCTACAGCATGGGACGACAGACATGGGGGTGCCTGCTCAAGAATGTCATTTCAGCTCCAGGATCCGGCAGGTATTGCATGCCATGCAGGTACTAGATTAATGCTACAGACAGTCGCATGTCGTAGACAGGTCCTAACAGTGTCTAGTCAGTAGCATCATGCTTACATGTGCCGGGTCAGCACACCATACATTGACCTAGCAAAACGGTAACCTACGGAATCTACTGAACACCAAGTAAGTGTACTAGTACTAGTACCGAAATTTTCGGTGCGTTTTATTTTAGGTAAAAATTTTCGGCACCAAAGTTACCGAAAATAAAACACCGCCGAAAAGTTCTGCTTTTACAGTAAGTTACATGTAGTGTCCAGGTTAGGGATTCGGTGCGTTTTATTTTAGGTAAAAAAATTGGCACCGAAGTTACCAAAAATAAAACACCGCCGAAAAGTTCTGCTTTTACAGTACGTGTAGTGTCTAGGGAGATGGCGCAGGAGACTGTAACGCTCGACGATATGGATTTCGCTCCCGGGTGCCTGTTACAGTTGCTGTTGGGGCAGGGTCGATTTACACATGTTCACGTATGGCATCGTTTGTCTAGGCTGCGCTCAGGGTCAGTAGGTCAAGGGCATGATCGCAAGCGGCACAGACCACGTGTGCAATTTTCGTCTGATGATCGATTCAATCGTGAAACTCGGCATTTCGAAACGCAACTGCTCGTCCTTCTGTCTGTGTATTCCACTCTTTGCTTTTGGCAAATGGTGCCCTCTACGGACGGTGTATGAACTTCGCATGGAGTTGTTGATACAGTACTGTACATACTGTTGTGTGAGCTGTGTTGCAATCACTGGTGTAGAGCTCGGAAGTGCTACGTCATAAGTTCCAAAAGTCTGATTTGTGGAACTGTGTACTAGGATGTAGGACAGCACGTGTGTTTAATTATGTACGTGTGCGTGTGTGTGTGCGTGTGTGTGCGTGTGTGTGCGTGTGTGTGCGTGTGCATGCGTGCGTGTGTGTGCGCGCCTTGCCTTGCCTACTATAGTTCTCCTATCCTGGTAGAGGCGTGGCATTGTGTGGACGCCGTGGCAACTAAACTGCTGGGCACTACCCGACTGCACGTCAGAAACGTTCTGCAACAACCACAACAACCGGTGAGAGCCCTCTGCTATACTATGAATGATGTGATACATTAGGAAAGTAGCCGAGATGGGCCCAGCATATTTTTCTTGGTTTGCAAAGACGGCCATCGTTTGGTTTGGACAGCTGTCTGTTGGTTTTTGTTAGATGCTGATAGGCAGACACAGTGACAGGGAGAGAAGCTGTGTTCCTGCCATTCGTACTCTAATGGTGTACAAGCGTGGCCACTGTATTGCTCCGTTGGCCTCCGAGTATGTATTCAGGTTGTCTTCTTTTATTATCCACTCCCATCATAGTGTTGCAACTGCTGCTGCTGCTGCTGGTGGTGGTGTTGCTTCTGTTCTGTTCTGTGATCAGGTTCAGTCTGGTGGACGTGTCGGGGGTTGGAGACGTGCCTATACTTCAGACTATGATGTGCTTAGTTTAGACAGGTGAGTGGAGAGTGCACTGTGGATGGGTTTACTTACACAGTCTGCAGATGCACTTTGAAAAGTTGAATTCAGTCACCCACGTATAGTGTCAAGAGTGAAAAAGCTCCCAAGAGCGTGCAACTCTGCATATGGGGTCTGTGCCGGCGAAAGCTCACATCAATTGTTCCAGGTACGTTTCGGCGTTTCTGTATTACGGAGACCAGCTTCACAGCAGTCCGAATATTTGCCATAATCATGCTGATGACTTGCGAAAGCTGATGGTGGGGTCTGTCGGGGAGTGCTATATTTATTACTTCTCTGCTTGCTAGAAATAAGCTGGGAAAGTACAATGTGAGCACTGCACCACGTGATGTGAGTTTTCTCGTTATTGGCGGGCCCCATCGAAATGGTATCTAGAGTGACATACTCTTGGGAGCTTGTGTACTGTTGAGAGCGCATGCAGACCCTGCACTCAATTAGTGAAATTTGAAAATGCGTTGCATCCATAACTAGAATTCATTAGCATTGTGATCACCCAAAAATATTGCATTTGTGGTCACTTCAGATGATAGCATGTTAGATGGTAGCGAGAGGAGAGTCAGCTTTGTTTTGTTTTGTAGCGAACGACACTATGTCTAGTCATGAAGTGCACCATCCGTGAACTTCTACGGCTGGGAATGTGGAGTGTGTCCGTTCTTCTTGCCCTATGAAGGTTTCAGGCTCATAAACCAGTTGGCAAAGCATGCGGACGGGCAGAGACCGGACTTCCCAGGACATGCTGGGCAGCTGTAGGTGGTGTCTTTCTGCCGGCCGTCTTCTCTATAGCGTACCTGGCAGCAGCTTTCTGCACCTTGCTCTTGCCAAGTATATAGAGTCTACTACTACACACAAAAAGGCACAACGGAGGTTTACAGAGTTGTCGCAACTCAGAGTTTCTTGCTCAATGCAATCGTCAGGCGACTATATGTAATAGTGCTCCACATTATTGTGTTGAGCCCTCACCGCTGGCAGAAGGAAGTTTTCCTCCTTGTAGAATCTACTACTACAGATGTACTGTACATATGTGACGACGATAGCACGCATCACACATTCTTGCAAGAGCAGCAGTGAAAGCCAGCTGTAGATATGTTACGTGAGGTATCTCATGGAGGTAGCAAGCAAACATCAGACTTACCGGGTGTAGCAAGAGCAGCAGTGAAAGCCACGTGTAGAGATGTACATGAGATATATGTCACGGTGATAGCAAGCATCACACATGCTTGGTGCTGCAAGAGCAGCAGTGAAAGGGGAAGTTGGCTTTTTGGAGCCGAGCCATTTTTGCAGTCGGCAATCGTGGCATGGAGCCTAGGCGGCTGTCTGATCGATCTCGCGGCCAGTAATGGACAGCAGCACGCTGGATGTAGCCACACCAGAAGTAGAGACCCTGTCGATCTCCAGTGCCAAAGAATTGGGAACGCGAGTGGCATGGCCCGAAAGTTGGCTGTAGCAACTCATTTTATGGGTTCGTCTTGGTGCAGCAGCGCCTGCGACACTTGCGACATGGATTGACCAAAGATAGTCGTAGCAAGGAGTGGGCACGTGCTCCAGTACGACATGTCTATCCTTGGCTTTACGACAATGCAGTTGCCTGCTACCGTGTGTGAGTTCAGGGTCGGAACCATCAGCATTCTCATGTGCATTGACAGCACCGGCTTCTTCAACATCTTCTTCTCCAATTACGTCATGATTGCAGTCTTCCTCTGCATGGTCAGCAGGGGCGTCACCAGACCCCTTCAGAGGGGGGTGCACAGGAAAAATTTTGCACAGGAATTTTTCCCGGCCATGATGGCATGGCATCGATAACAAACTCGAAAGCAAAATTAATAGCATTGCATCATCTGCTACATCAGCCCCGCCAGCTGCGACAACGGTCTGGAAATTTCCATACTTTGCCTTCGCATCTAAATGTGACTTCTGCTTCTCATGCTTCTCCAGGAGAGTGGTGGCTTTCTTGAAATTGACCAAGGGATTCGATGTCAGCTGCCCATGATCAGCACCAGATGGAAACAGCAAGAATGGTAGACAGAATCATCCATCGCACCTCTGGGAGCACACGAGCCAAGCGTGGTCGGTAAGCCACTGGATACGAAAGCGTCGTGTCGGCCGCCAGGGACTGGGTGACATGGGAAAGCGTACTTGGGCCCAGGGACAAAGTGAAATTAATCAGATCAATCTTCCTCTCCTGAGAAGTCGACGATGGATGTGTGGACCATTTGGAATTCTCCAAATCAAAATCCTCAGCAGCGGCAATGTCGTTGTCAACCTGGACAACCGGTTCCTCTTCAACCTGGACAACAGGTTCCACTTCAACAGGACTGCGTGCCGGTTCTTCGTCAGGTCCCTCATCGTCCGATTCCCCTGGCCCAGCTGCAACAGGAATGGCTTCGTCACCTCGCCTCACGTCTGGGTTCACATTCCTCCGAAAAAGTTCGCTGATAGTGAGCTGGCCAGACGCTTTCCTTTTTCGAGAAGACGACGTTTTGAGAGGAAACAGCTCCAAAGACTCTTCAAGTGTGGTGACCTGACTAACTTACTTGCGACCACACTGAATTATTTATTTCTTCTGTTTCAAACAAACACCCAGCACGCCGCCGCGCGTGTAGATTCTAGTACAAGGCCAAAGGATGCAGCGCTGCGCACACGTGCACGCGTACGCGCGTAGTAGGTAAGTACTAAATTAGTAGCAGTAGTACTAGAGTACTAGTAAAATCTGCCATGTACATGCACTCGCTACATGCACTCGCTACATGCACTCACGCGATCGCGGCAGCGCAGTACAACTAGTTTTAGTGCATGCAGTTTATTAGTAGATTCTACCAGCACTACACTTTTCATAACCAGGAGTTCGCAAAAAACCAAGGTGGAATTTTTTAGGGGGGGGGGGGGGGGGTGCACGTGCCCCTCACGGGTGACGCCCCTGGTCAGCACCATTACTGGCATTAGCAAACCAGGGGTCATTGTTCTCATCGTCCTCGAGCTCCCTGTCACTTCCTGCGTCCACGAACACCAGAGGAAGCCCTTATTATTATACGCATTTCTGCGTTGAAGTGTAGCAGCAGTATGCTGCGTCCACAGCTTCGCTTATGCGGAGCCCTTCCTTCGCAGAAATACGCTGTCCATTTCCAAACTGTCCACGACGAGAGAAATTGAAATTTGATTTCTTGTGAGAACACAAGCGCACCTGCGCCTACTAATCATGTCCTCTGCGCCGCATACACGTTGGAAGTGTTAGGACGTGTTGCCATGGTACGAAGGAGCTGCCGAGCTAGCCTGTTTCTCAGCCAGTGTGGACCCGGTCATGGCACTGAGAATGTCTGTTTCCAACTCAGTGTCCAACCCCGTAGAAGTACGGGCTCAGAGTCTGGACGCCAGCTAGAAATTACGTAACGGAGCGGGTTCAACAGTGAAGGGGTTAAATCTCCGTCCTCACTTTTCTCCCGGGCTGTGGAATTCCATATGACAAACTGTATTCCCATTCCACCCTAACAGCTGTTGGTGCGTTTGTCTGTGTATGTGTGTCTGTGTGTGTGTGTGTGTCGGTGTGTGTGTGTGTGTCTGTGTCTGTGCTTTCGCTTTCTACAGCCCAGCAGTACGTGTGTTCAGTCTCTGCGCCAGTGTGTCAGTGGAAGACCATGGCCCAGTGCATCTTGAGGTTTGTTTCTCTGCGCCAGTGTGTGTGTGTGTGTGTGTGTGTGTGTGTGTGTGTGTGTGTGTGTGTGTGTGTGTGTGTGTGTGTGAAAAGACCAAAAATAGGGATTCACTGGCCAGAAAATGTCACTCCAAATAGCTGTATGGTGTAGACCAGGCTGAATAGTGACGGTCAATTCTTCAGCCTTGCAAGCTGTTGAATGGTGTAATCCCAGCACAAGTTGCTATGGCTTCTGCCGTAGCATTGCTATCATCGCCTCCGGCGATGGGCGTCAAAGGTCAAGGTCAAAGGTGTGTGTGTGTGTGTTTATGTGTGTGTTTATGTGTGTGCTCGTGTGTGTCGTGGCTGCGTGTTTATCAGTTTTTCATCTCATGAGACATCTTGTTCCCCAGGCGGTGATGGCTCAGATCTCTGCAAACACACACACACACACACACACACACACACACACACACACACACACACACACACACACACACACATATACACACACACACACACACACACACACACACACACACACACACGTGTACTAATTATAGATGCGTGCATGCTCAACTCGTGTTCTCTTTCTGCTGTGTGTTACATATGCTCTCTTTGTGCAGACAAGCAGTCGCAGTCCCGTCACCGCTGCTACACTGGGTGGCCATGTCACACCGGCAACTGGCCGAGTATCGCCCACACCTTCAACAGCTACTGTCGTGCTGTCTAGAGAGAATGCTGCTCCTGGTGCTGGCGCTACTCATCATGCCACATCACTGGAAGCAGCAGAAGAAGAGCAGTCACAGAATCAGCCGTATCACCAGCCGCTGTCACATTTATCCACCTCCATCGCGCCCGGTATGTCCGCGATTGTAATGCTGTGTATGTCAAGGACAGGCTCAGTGGCGGATCCAGGAGGGGTTCCAGGGGTTCCGCGGAACCCCCTAAATTTTGAAAATGTACTGCTGGCGACTGTACGCATGTGGATGTACATGTTCAGCTATTCATTTTCGACTAAACTAGAACCCCCCTGTAGAGATCGCTGGATCCGCTTCTGACTGGCTGTGCATCATCCCTTCCTGTGGCTGTGCATCATCACTTCCTGTGGCTGTGCATCATCCCTTCCTGTCTTCTATGTATACCCGTGTACACGTAGATCCCTGCCACGCAGCAGAGGCATTGCGCCTTTACCTGCCACGGTGCTCAATGCCTCCAGTGGGTTGTGGGCAGAGCACAGTACACAAGATGTACACCAAGGGGAAGTCAAGGCGCTTCAGGCGCGTGCTCGGCGATGGGCACGGGGGGCACGTGCACCCCCCAAAAATTTTCAATCTGGGTAATTGCAATTGTAATGTATGTAAATATGCTCTAAAATTCAAGAAAGGTTGCAAACAAATTGCATAAAATTGCCGGGGGGGGGGGGCCTCCGCTCCCGTGCACCCCCCTAGTTGGGGGGCCGAGCACGCCCCTGCGCTTTGTTGTGACTCAGAGTATCTTGCCTTGACAAGTTGACAACCAAGCAACAGATGAGTTACAACCAAAGGCCCTTAGGCGCCGGTCACACATGCAGGCGGCGACACCGCTTTTGCGGCTGCCTCCAACATGCTGGCAGTGGGCGCTTTTGCGGCTCTTTTCTGCCGGCGGTCACACATGCAAAGGCTTTGGTACGCACGCAGCTTCACGGGTCTCCACAGGTGTCGTAAAACTTTTCTCTGAAAAAGACTGTAGCCTCAAAATTCTTCAGGAAGTTACCTGCTTTGTTGCATTTTGACTGAGTTGGCTGTTTCATTTTTAATTCTTATCACTGTTGTCTTTCCTTTCCTGCGCTGGTATGGATCGCAGAAACGCCCAGAATCGCCGACTACGTCGTGACCAGCGACTGCGGAGAGCTATGGAGATTGCCTCAATATTCATGTTGTTCAATTTCTCTTCGCTTGAATCTTGCGGAAGCTCCTTGAGCATCGGTGGACGCCTGAGTCGAGTCCCATGTCGGATGGTTGATGACACCCAGCCTGTATGGATGCAGATGATGGCACTGTTTGGTTTGCTGCACATGCGTGACCTTCTCTTCGGTAGATACAAGAGAAAACGACGCTTCTGGGCTGCTCTCAGAGATGGCAATGTATGGGATGAAGATTTTTTGAGAAATTATCCCACAATGTCCGTGCAATGGAATGTCCCCGACTTTGAAGATCAACAGTATATGGAGCATGTGCGAATGGGCGAATCAGAGTTCTGGCATCTCCATGAGGAATTTGGCCGGTATATTACATTCCAGGACAGCAAGTGGAGGTTGTGTGTACCGAGCCACAAACGTCTGGCAATAACGCTGCATTGGCTTGCCAACGGCAATAGCTACTGGCAGCTAGCCCGTCAGCATGGCATTGCCAAGTCAACCGCTGTTAAGATAGTCCATGAAACTGTGCGTGCACTGAAGATGCACATTGTGCCGAATTCCATTCGCTTCCCAGAGGGACAAGAGCTGAAGAGAGTGATGGCAGAATTCGAGTCCCTATCATTCCTGGAAAGGTGTGCAGGAGCCGTGGATGGAACATTTGTTAAAATTCGAAAGCCAAAGGCCATGTTTGGTGACTGCTACTATTGTTACAAGAAGTACTGCTCAATTATTTTATTGGGCACTGTAGATGCGTGCGGGATGTTCATCAACGTGAATGCCGGAAGGCCTGGGTCTGCTGGGGATGCCACATCAACAATGTTGCGCAGGATTTCCCAGCAAAAGTGGCTGACCATACAAGACAACTTTCGAATTGAAGGCACGTACATACGGCCCTACCTTGTGGGAGACTCTGCATTCCCCCTGTGTGCCACTCTAATGAAGTGCTTTGATGACTCAGCTGGACTTCAGCCACATGAACGGACATTCAACTACCGGCTTATTCGGACAAGGCGTGTAGTGGAGCAGGCGTTTGGGCGACTCAAGGGTCGATTCCGTGTGCTAGTCCACAATAACCTCGACGATCCCGACTTCGCTGCTGATGTGGCCATTGTCTGTTGCGGTCTGCACAACATCTGCGAGAGATGGAAGTGTCCTATGGACCGACTTGGCTAATTAACACTGCCACGTACAATCAGTTCCACCCAGGACCAAATGACCAACCCCACGATGACTACAAACAAGCAGGTTGGACGGTGAGAAGGAAGCTAGCGCGGCGTACTCACCGAGATCACCCTGTTGTTTGAGCAATACGGTTCTGCTGGCCTCTTATTTCCACACTGAGTACAATCCATTCCATTGATGAATTTATACACCTGCTCTGTGTGAACGAGAAGCACTGAATGCAACTTTATTGTTTTGCCCGTGCAGAAGGCGTATAAGAAAAACCGCAGCGTGCTAAATTGCACCTAAAAAATTGAAGAGAAGAACACGGCTGAAAAAATTGAAGAAAGGATTTATCACAAAACAAGCTCAGTCCTGCTCCTCGTTCCGGGAAGACCTTGGTCCAGGACCATTGAAGAGGTTGCTCACAAGTGTGGCCTGGAATGTCATCATTGACTGCTGGACAGTCATGTGGAATTCCTGATTTTGCCGTTGTGTGGCTGCTGGCGTTCTCTCCTCACGATCTCTCATCCGCTCTTCAAATTGTTGCTGCTGTTGTTGTAGCTGTGCCTGCGGTCAAAGCACACAAATAACCATCACAAGAGGACTAAGTATTGCTGCTAGACTGCTAGTGATGTTTCATTGGCCAAGTTGTTTGCGAATTCTCACTAATTCCAATTCTGTAAAGTAGATACCACAATTATGAACGAGTAGCCAATACAAATCTATAATATACTACAGTAGAATTCAAATTTTAAGGAACATGGCCAACAATCTCCTGTCTATTTCAGACCATATTTCCAGAATCTATTTTGGAAAAGGCAGTTTTGGAAACAGTTGCTTACCTGAAGTGTAATGGTTTGTTGTGTATGCGCTTGCATGATGTTGCCAAATGATGCCAAGAACTGGTCCTGTTGCTGGCGCTGTTGCTCTGGTGCTGCCGTCCTACTTCTGCCAACACGTCTCGGTGGTGTGGGAGGCAAGGCAGGCCGAGCACGGCCATTGTGCGGCTCCTGTCGAGTTTGAGCTTGCGCCTGTGCTCGTGGCCTTGCTGTTGCCTGCGTCGGTAGAGGCAGTGGGGTAGATGCTGCTGCAGGCAATGCTGCTGATGGTACGATTGGCTGCGCTGAAAGTGCTGCTGCAGGCAATGCTGCAGATGGGAGGACAGGCTGTGCTGAAAGTGCTGCAGCACGTGCTGGTGGAAGTCCATCAGAACTATCGGCCTCGCTGTCATCAGCCACGTCATGGTCTAAATCATCATCTATGTCACCATCACCAAAAGTTCCACTGTTTCCAGTAGTGTGTGCAGTACTGCTATCACTGCTTGTACTAGCTCTGTTGCTCGTAGCACTGGGGTTGGCTGCCTCTGCTGAAGCTGCCTGTTCAGCATCATCAGCATTGTTGTCATCATCATCATCATCATCATCCTCACTGGTGTCTTGGGCACTATCAGTGGAAATAGCCAGTCCCAGAGTGGGATGAGACTTCCACAGATCATAGAAATATTTGAGTAGTGGCCACTTCGCTTCTTTGAGAATCTCTTCCCAGTCCAGCTCATCTTCATCATCATCATCATCAGCAGCTGCCCCGGTTCGCTCTAGCCTGCTTCTGCGCACTCTGGGCTGCACATGAAGTTTAACCTTTTTGGAGCCCGTCTTCTTCAGGCGCCCGATCTTATCCTTGACCTGCTTCCAGGCGACCACCACATCCTCCTCCTTCAGCTTGTCAACAATCCAGTTGTACCTCTGTACATCTCTTGTAATTTTTTTCTGGTGTCTTGTCTTGACCTCGAAATAGAGGGAGAGGAGCAGTTGCTCTTGGTCAGCAGTCCACTTCATGACGAGAGATGAAAAACTAATTTTTCCAAGATCCAAGAGATCCAACAACGACAACGCCGCAAAAGTTGCACTACCGCTTTTGTGTTTCGCCACCAATTTTTTGGTTGTGGCGCTTTTGAGATTGCCGCCGTGGCGCCAGTGGCGCCAGGCGCAGTATCCATGGTGATCCGGGGATATCCCAACTTTTGTGGTGCAGCTTTGGTGGTGTCGCAAAAGCGCCATGCATGTGTGACCGGCGCCTTACTCTCCTTTGTGTACATGTTGTATGCTGCGCTCTGCTAGAGTGCCGTGGCTACAGCCTTGTGTTATCATTTTTTCTCTTTGTGTGTGGTCTGTAGCTGAAAGAGAGGGAGAGGTGGATGATGGGGGTGAGGAGAGAAAGAGAGGGAGAGGTGGATGATGGGGGGAGGAGAGAAAGAGAGGGAGAGGTGGATGATGGGGTGAGGAGAGAAAGAGAGGGAGAGGTGGATGATGGGGGGAGGAGAGAAAGAGAGGGAGAGGTGGATGATGGGGGGGGGGGGGGGGGAGAGAGGAGAGAAAGAGAGCGTTGCCTGAGTGTGCATTTACGTTGGCATGTTCTGTTTCAAGTCCCTAAAAGTTGTTCTGTCGTGTTCTTGTACTTCTACCTGCGAACAGACCAAGTAGCTGACCGGGACTCAGCTGCTTATCAAGCTGCTCTCCAGCTGGAATTGTGGAAAGCTGCGGAAGAGGAGAGGTTCCGTGAGACTGTAAGTAGAGCGTTGATTATCCGATCCATTTAGGGCAGCCGTCGTTCAGAAGGGGTTCGGATAAGTGAAATATCCGGAGAGAGAGAGAGAGAGAGAGAGAGAGACAGAGACAGGAGAGGGGGAGGGGGAGGGGAGAGAGACAAACAGACAGGTGCAGTGTAGGGCTCGTACATGCATGTAATCGAGTTTTATGATCGAGGTTGCGTGCAAAATCGTATACAATTGCGCTCCGTGAAATCCAACCCAAACGTGCAAAGCTGGCGCCCTGGACCAGTTCCGATCACATTATCATTGTATTTGTACATGTGTACGTCCAGCCACTTTCAGGGCATCAAGGTAGCCAGTGCAGGCTAAATTTTATTTTTCAAGGAAACCCTTCGAAAATGGTACCAATCGATTCAGCATGGCATTTTCATTCCTCCTGCAAAGTTTCAGCTGATTTGGAGTCATGACAAGGACGCTATGGCGATTTGAAGATCGAAAAACTTTTGTTTGTCAAGAAGAAAGGCCATGATCGCACACAAATCATACAACCCGTGTGGCACAATGATTTTTGAGCGAAGTTGATCCGCGGACCCCGTGCTTCGCGCATGCACGCATGCATACTGCACAGTACAGAGGCTTTTTTGAACGCAGATATGTAGTTCTTCGTCTTCTTCGAAATGTCTTCCAAATGCGTGGTGCTGGTGTTGTTCTCAGCTTCGTCAAGGCAGAATGCAGCTGCATGTGATGCTCCTGTGTGTTCATGCATGTTCTCTTTTCGCGTCTCGACATTGTAGCGTCCAGACTCAGCTCGACTGGAGAAGATTGAGGAGACTATGCTTTGATCCACATGGAAAAATCGATGAAATTTGGTAATTATCGTCGGGCGCTAAAAAGCGCTGGGGAGCATGGGGCTAAAACTTCGTAGCAGTCATCCCTACCATGACAGGCATCGACTGGTATATGTTCCATTCTGTTCCCAACCACTACGGGTCGTCTGCGAAGCTTTCTTCTTCGCCGATTCTCGGACAGATCGTACGTCTTCGCACTGTATCTCTCGTCTCCCTCAACGGATCAAAACACGGTCTTCGCCAGGACGAACACAAACCCCCAGATTTCGCGGCGGCAACATCTTCGAGTAGGGAAAAGCTAGCAGCTAACCAGGAATCACCAACAAACACGTGTAATACTCAGTTTGATTTGCGACAGCTGTCATTGTGCCGTCGCACCATGCATGTACCATGCACGGGAATGGAACACGGATGAGTCGTTTTATTACGACAGCCTGCACTAGCTAATCAAGGGCCGTGCATGTTGAGGGCGCCAAATAAGGACTCCGGGTCGGATTTCTCTTAGCACAACTGTACTAGTTTTTTTTCCATGACAGTGAGGCTCGAATTCGAAGCCTCTCCTACGTGCAAAAGAAACACAATGGATGAAAAATGGAATACAAATTTAATGCAAACCCAGAAAACCAGAAAAGGAAAAAATATAACCCAAAAGAAAAACAGTGTGTGATTAACCCTTTGAGGCCCATAGTACGGATATATCCGTACCAGTGTACAGTGCATACTTTTCAAAGCGCAACCTGGCGTAACTCGGCTGTCCCTTGACCAAATCGGACAATCGAAAGGTCTATCGACATTAGAATTGTCTCAGCTATTGGCTCAAAAAAACCCAAAGGCGATCCGATGTCGGAGAGCGGAGTTATGAGACTCGAACTAAATTCGCTGAGCAGAGTCAACTCGGGCGCGTGCATTTTGAACTCGTTTTTGGGGGCTCCAAACTTCGTTCCGTGTTTGCCGTCTTGGCCGTTAGGTTCTCGCACGCCGAGGCTGCACCTCACATATGCCCCTCCACAACAGCCAACTCTCGGAGTGCATTGACTGGACGGTGGTGTGCCGAGCGGGAGCCGGGGATGCACATTATGGCAGCTCTTAGTAGAGCGAATGCTAACCGAGTCCGGATATAGCACATCATTTCTCCATACTTCTTGTTGTCGTTGCTAGCCAGCATACTGCACAAACGCTTGAGAAATCGGCTGGTTTCTGGCGACGTACATCCAGCCGTGGAGAAGATGAGGGGAGTGAAGGTCCCACGACCGACATGTATGATACGCTCAGCGTATTCCAACTTCTTTCTCCGTTCGTGCTCGAGGAGAAGGGCATCAACTGGCTTCTTTGCATATGACGCCGCGTCCGGATGAAAAACTCAAACATCCACAAATGCGTCCTGGGCCCTGGTCCAGAAACCTCGCACCTTTAAAGTCTTGCAAACACCACCGTCATTCACAGGACAATTCCAGATTCTGTACCTTACAGTCGGCAAGATTCTAAACTTTGTATAAAATGGTTGTTCATGTATAAGAAGCTATATTTCACTTACTGGCACGCGCGATAGTTCTCTCCTTCCTGGTGGGCCTTTATAATTTTTGCGTCCTGTCCCTGCATGCACGGCCTTGAACCTCCTCCACCTTCATGGCCTTTGCCATGCTTAGCGCAACCGTTCGCCAAGCGCTACTTCCTGCCGCGAATGGCTTATCTTGGCCCAACACCTCCGTCAGCAGCTTGATATCGTCGGGACTGTATCCAGGAACATGGCTGAAGCACTGCTGCTACACTCGGAAGTTTGCCCAGTTGGCAATAGACTAGCAAGGTCAGCAAATTCACCTCGCGAAATCTTGTCTCTGGCGGCCTTTAGCACAGGAAGGGTCGTCGTTAGTGCTGCGTGTAGCGACCCGGCATGCCATGCAGCAGCGGCATTGGGAGCTGTAGGTGGTGGAGGGCGTCCCGTGCTGAGGAGTGGTGCAATGACCTCCGACACGGCAGACTGTACCTCGGCTCGTATCAGAGCCTGCAAGGAGTCCTGAGTTTGTGAGCGATCCGTTGAAGTGCCAGGCTCAACAGTCGTGGGAACTGGCGCAGTCCGCGACCGAGATGCCCGACGCTTTGGAGCAGGAGAGGACAAGCTCGCCCGTTGTCTAGAGTTGTCCGACGATGATGAGGCAGCGGGGCCCACGAATCGAGAAGTCGGCTGGCTGCGTGTTCCAGGTCGTGACATACTGGTACAGACCCTGTGATTTGAAAATAGGTGGCGAGTGATCTATCGCTCTCCTCGCCTGTGTCAGGCGAGCTGTAGGAGAGTGATCCAAAAATTCTCACTCCAACAACACAGCACATTATTGATATCAGTTTTTTCGAGAAAAAATTCTGGATGCTTTCTGAATTTCCACCATTGTCTTGAAAGATGACAGCGGTTGGCCGTGAACTGCCATTAAATATGCAGTGTGGAAGAGCTTTTCGTATGCATCCTCCGCTTGGACTAGAATAGCTGTGTGGATGCGTGGCTGCTGAGGCGCTTGTGTTGCCTTGCTCCCTGATGCAGACGTCGACGATGATTTGTCGGTGTCACCCAATAGCTTCGCATGGCTCACTCCGATGCTATGCGCCTACATGACAACAAGCGAAGAAAACAAGGAGAATGGTCGCGAGTCCGATCGACTTTTTTTTTTTTTTTACTTTCGACATTGAATTGACCACTTACCTGTCCAGACAAATGTCGAGTGACAGCGTGCTTCGTCACGTAGTCCGATCCCTCCACAAACCTCAACGCATCGACCTTCGCTTGACCTCTCAGCCATAGAGTCGCTCCGGATAACGTCAGAATACTTCGCACACGACTTGCACCACACTTTCACGACCAGCTCTTTACCTTCCTTCTTCACCGAGTTGAAGCCTATGTCCTCATCTACTTTCCAGCTGAGGAAAGTGGACAACTGCACACTGTTCCCTTTCGACATTTCTACTGCTAGCAGCAGCAGGAGATCACCAGCAAGGGATCATGTCGCAAGGAAAGAAAACAACTGGTATGATCAACTCCAGTTGACCAATTGGCCTTTTATTCTAAGAGTAAGAGGACGAAAGCGCCATTTGGGTGCATTTACTTGCAACGCATGCACTAGCAGAACTACCAGAACTACTAGTCTATGTCAGACTGCGGTCTATCTTGCTACTCGGACCCGCCAGGCGCTAGTTCAGAGGGTTGTACGGACCCCTGCGCTGCATGCAGGGGTCCGTAAAACCCGTTGAACTGGAGTGTTTCATGAGTGGTGGTAGATCTACGCGGCACAGCTCTGACTAGTTCAAGCCGCAATCATTCATCCAGACGTGTGAAATGCCCCGAGGTCATGCCAGGCTAGCTGGGCGCCATGCCAGTGCAGTGCCTGTGTCACACTCACAGTGTAGACCTACGTGCAGTGAACTTGCCTACTCAGTACTGTGCATGTCACTACACATGACTAACTCACTGTCTAGTCTGTTTCATAACAGCGCGAGCGGGCACAGTTCCGGCCTGCGCACGGATCGATGAGTGCACTTGACACCATACACTCGTACTAGTCATAGTACAGTAGTAGTTGCGCTGCACTCCGAAAAGCGTACATGCAGCCAAAAATAGTTTCAGGCGCGCGACAAAAAGTGCACCTTCCAAGAAAATAAGGCGCGCGAGAGCGATCGCTCGCCTCAAATCACAGGGTCTGCTGGTAGTGGCTCTGGCGCAGCGCCCAGAGACGGCGGTGAGAAACGGAAAACCGAATGTCACCTGAAGGGCTCCAGGTCTGGAACGACTGACACCACCGAGGAAACGGCACGACGCGAACCTACTTGTGCTACTCAGGCTTGCAAAATCACAAAAGGATTCCCGAAAAAATTCAGTGTTGCATGCATGATGTCTAGCATGTATTTATTCTTGCTCTGTATGGATATCTTGATTGAAAAAATATATAAGCACTGTCTCCATTTAGGCATTATAAGAGGGGTGTTGAATGGGTGTTGAAAAAAATTGTGAGAATATACGGTATTTATACGTTTATGTTTGTGTTGTACAGTGCTGTATGCGCTGCATTGCTTAGAGTCACGTGACACTGTCCACACAGATTTGATGGGTACCTTTTTTCTGTTTTATCAGCTGGAAGCTCGTAAGAAGCAACAGCTGCAACTTCTCGCCGAGGAATGGAAGAGGAGAGATCTGGAAAGGGAAATGTCTGTCACTAAAAAGGTCAGCTTTAGTGCAACGTATTTCCATGTTACAGCCATGTGGCCACGGTTGTTCCTCTCCAACCCGGTGATGCAACTGTGTATGTTGTATTGCTGCTGAGTCGATGTGTGATTGTGTATTGTGTTCCTTTGCTATTGCTGCTGCTCCTGTTGCTCCTCCTGCTGCTGCTGGTGCTGCTGCTCCTGTTGCTGTTGCTGTTGCTCCTCCTGCTGCTGCTGCTGCTGCTGGTGTGTGAACTGAAGTCTAGGCGTTTGTATCACTACCACCAGCAGCTCTGGTCCTGCTGTCTCTCATCATGTGTTCTGTGCGTCTTGTGTGTTTGTTGTGTGTGTGTGCTGTGTGTCACACACAG